AGTGTAATAAAATATCGCAAAATCGACATAATTTTTATAAAAAGTAGGAAAGTAGGACAAATGTGTAAAAAGTAGGACTTTTCCTACTTTCCTACTAAAAAGTAGGAAAAGTAGGACGACTTGGAGGCCTGCAAACTGCTCTCTAAACAAGGTCGGTTAAAACAATCCGTAATTTTTCACCAGCGAGGGTGGATAATGCAGGACAGTTAAAAGGGGGTCTACTGAATTACTTATCTAGTAATAAATTTTTATTAGTACAAGAAGAGAAAATATCTGATGAATGTTTTTGATTTACACACATTGCATTCATTTTTTTCAATAAAAGGACAGCATATAAAATAACGAAACTATTTATGTTTTATAACACACCTGTGGTATGTAAAGAATAATGACAGTTTGTTTAAGTGCTAAATCTTTTATAGCCTATTTGTATTTTTCAGATGGAAATGAGTTTCAAGTGTACTTCTTGAAATACAAGCCATCAAAGTATGCATATTACTTTGTCTGTGGGAAAAATGGAGGTAAGAAAAAACCCTAACCTTAGTGATAAATAATTGATAAAGGACTCTCAAATTTTGTTTCCAAGTTGTGTACACTTGTTAGTTTCTCCAACGACAGTCTTGGTTTTCATGGATTTAGTATAAACCATTGACTTATATCTACACATATACACTTATTGGAGTAGATATAAAGTCAATGGTCTAAACATAGCTTTAAAACTTAAACATTGTTTGTGTTCCTTTCTCATAGTACAGTATATACATACAAGGACCATTATATTTGGTTGCTGTTAAGTGTTAAATAGAAAAGTTTTTAAATAGAGAACGTTTTTCAGAGCGTTCAATTAATAATTCAACTGTTTAAAAACATTTGATCCATTATCTTCAAATGCAAAACCTTATTTTTTCATTTCATGGACCATCTTGTATATTTCAAAAATTTGGTTTTTCTGTTCCAAGTTCGTTTGGCTCTTCTACCTGACCGATTTGCATGATTGAGGTGTCAAATTGAAGGTATACACACGTACAGATTTCACATCAAGCATCAGTATCGACGATAATAGAATATGAGAAAAAAATTATTCCTATTTGTTTTCCCTAGGCCTACTAGAGAACATTTTACCCTGTCACGTATAGACATTTCATTTCATTGTTACCATTGCAGCCAGTTTTTGATCGAAATAACTTGAGTTATAAATAATTTACTGCCTTGAGAAATAAGCACTGATTGATTCCATATACACATTTTTTTAATTCAAACTATGGCATTCCTATGTCTCCATCGGAGTGAAAACCTTAAACAGTAAATTGAATTTCAATAATACACTTGAGGGAGGAGCCTATTCACCATATGGTTTTGAATGAACCAATGAGAACCGTGCGGTGTTGCCAAATCTAATACAGTAATACCGGCTGATTTTAAAATAGTGCTTAGTATATTTTAATTAGTGTCGTCAACGGGCGATGTGGCAACGTCGCACTAGCCTTGCCCTGTGATTGGCTGCCGCCAACTGCAAACTTACGTGGTCCCGACAATAGTACTGTATAGGTAGTCAAACATGTTCTCTTAGTTGGAGTAAAAAAACTGGTTCATTGTCCACACATATAAAATGTCACTGTCAATATCCAAAGTATATGTTCAGCTTCAATTTATTTTGTTTTAAAACTGTCTTTTGTTGCAGGGGACAATAATGTTGATTATCGTTATGTTCTTTCACATGAACCGCTATCAGAAGAAGATTCAGATGAAATTTATAAATTGGAAAAACACTACAGCTTCAAAGGAGACCTGAAGGAAATATATACTGTGTTTTATTAATAAAATAATGAGAAATAGTTATAAATGTTTCAAAATATTGTGCTAAAAATGTATAAATTTATGAATTTACAATAAAATTATGTGTTTTATTTGTTCAAGTACACATTTATTAACATAGACGTAAAATAGTTACACTTTTACCATAGAGGTATTAAAAAGCTTATAAATCCTGTGCAAACAGGTGAATGAGTTGAAACATGAGTGCAAACATGTGAAACAGTTGAATGAATATAGGGTTTTCCTAGCTGTGGAAAAGGTATTTTCATTTTCCTATTTTCCGCTCATCCAGCAGCATTTTACTATGTTTGTTGGAAAACAATAAGCCTACCATTAAATTACTTAAGACAAGAGAAGAGCTGAATTTTTATTGAGTATTTAAATATGGATTTAAGTGTTAAACAAAGTATTGGATTTTTTACTAAAGACTAATATAAAAGGATTTTTTTAATTTATCCATGCTTATTTTGTCTTTATGGATACAAATAATTAAAACAAATTTTGAAGCCATCCACAGTTAATTGATTATTCGTAGGACTCTTCATAGCCTCACGAGACATTAGTGGAAAAGCCGAAGTCCCGGTCTACTGATACAGCTGTTGCACTAATTCTTAATGGAGCTTCTACGCAATTTTTCTGTTAAACGTTTGTTATTCTGTTTACCTTGGCCCAATGTGAGGTTGCCCCACAAATGTTAGCTCTTAGGTCAGAGAAATGACACCTGACATTTAAAAATTATATTTTTATATTGAAAAAATTTGTGGTAGGGTGTGTTTTTCGATGGTATGTAGGGCAAAGTCCGACACCATAGCCTTTTCTAACCCCTCTTGCTATCACACACTACAACGTTCATGCTGGAGGGAGTACCCTGTGCGAAAGGATCTTCCACAGTGCTCGCCGATTGGACTCTTCCTAGCTCAACACAATTATATTGACCATGGCGTGTACGTTCGGGCATACACAACGTTAGAGCAGAAAGCGCATTGTCCCATAAGCAAGTTCCCTCTGTACCTTACTTCTCTGTGGTTCCTGAAACAACTGAACTGAAAACCTAAAATGTTCCCATAAGTAGGTTGATCATGAACCTCAGCATATGATTGTATTAAAAACTAAACTTTTTACTCTTATTCTCCGGAAAACTATTATCTTTGGATTATGGTGTGATTCAGAGTAAAACTTGATGGCCTTTCCTATTTTGAATTTTATCATAATCTCAAAAATAAATTAAGATTGTAGATCGGTCCCGAGTCCAGGTCTTACCATGAGTACTACGGTAATAGCTTATTCCCTGTAAGAGAAATTTGCTTAAAGTTATAGAAAGCGCAAAAAAGGGGGAATCAGCTATTTTTGGGCGTGTATGGTGCATCAAAAATTCAGATTCGATTCAGTTGTGTTCAAAAAACTACTCGATTCATGAGGAAGTCAGTATACATTTTCCATTTTACGAAAAAACGCCTGCAGAAAGTCAATGCAATACAGCTAGTGATGTGCGTATCGATACAAGGACCGCAAAATATCAATATTTTGTATCGATACGTAGGAGTGTACCGATACACCTATAACCGATATCGTATTGTTTATTTATTAATATAAATCTTATTTTTATGGTAAGAAATTTGTCTTCCCATCTTCCTCCCCTCAAAAGCAGTAGTGAAAATTTGATATTTTACCCTAGCATCTTCAAAAACACTGGTAAAACATGTATTTTCAGCTATGTTTTGCAAATAACCTCAAAACTAGGGCCACCATTAATGGAAGTGGGGACCATCATTAAAAATTATCCATATTATACTATTTAATGAGTAAGTGGCATACCCACCATCATTATAAGTATGTTTTGGTTCAATTAATTATCCCTGTGTAGAAACTAGGAAAACAATAACAAAAAGTTTTCCAATTTTGAGGGTTTACCGGAATTTGGAGGTTATGTATGCAATGCATGTTTGATACTAATAAAAACAAAAAGACACAGGAAGGAAACAGCTTTTCTGAGGTAAGATTACAAGCACTAACCCTCTTTACAAGCTTGTAAGTAACATGGTATTTGTCTATGCAGCTTGTATATTTGAGATATTTAAATTAAAAAAAAAATTACAAATAAACAATACGATACGATATTTTATCCGATACAGATAAAAATCTATACATGAGGATACGATACGATACACGTATCGATACACCACGTTCCATGACGTATCGATACATTGACCTGTATCGCCCATCACTAAATACAGCAGCGTATTGTTGCGTTTTCTTTGCGACGGCATTCTTATTTAGTTAATTCTTTGCTTGTAAATGTTGCTTTAATTTTGACATTGCAAATGATAACGCGTGTTGTTGCGTTTCCTTTGCGAAGGCGTTCTTATTTAGTTAATTCTTTGCTTGTAAATATTGCTTTAATTTTGACATTGCAAATGATGATAAGTTTTGCTAAGTGTAAGCAGTTGTGAGACATGTTTAACTACTGTAAACATAGCCAAAACAAGTCACCAAAACCATTCTAAAAATAACACAAGTCTGAAAAGTTGTTACTTGATACTTAACTAGTAACATTTGTTTTGACTGATAAATTTCGTATTTTTGTAGGTCTGAAGCTATGTAGGCTATACCTTGTAGTTTGTAGGTCTGATCCTGATTCTATCCTCTCATTTGATCAATGTAAACCAATTGAAAGTATTACTATAAATCTTGCAAATGTTTTTATTTTCAGGCAATAAGCCCTTTCTCTCCAAATCTAAATTATGAAATAGGAAAGTAAAGCAGCTCACTGACATTTCCAGCAATACAGGGTTCTTCTTTTAGCTTATATGATTGAAAGCAAATATTTTTTCACCAAAAATTCATGTATGAATAGGACTAATACCACATCAACAAAAATTTTAATTACACAAGTGTGGTAAATTTTAATTAGCTTATTGTTATTTCTATACATTGACAAGTACGAATAGAAAAATACCTTATTGCTTTGAATTGAGTTGCATCGATTCAAATCGAAAATCTTTTGATTCAAACCGAAAATCTTTTGAATCAAATCAAAATTTTTTGCTGCTTCGCACACCCCTAGCTATTTTGCATGTTAATTAACTCTGATCATATAGGCAATTTTTTGAAAACGCAGATTATTTCTTAATTTAACATTACCTAGTTAAAAATGAATGTAAGGAGGAAAAAAATGTACATACAAGGAAGATAAAAATTCTACATATATTTTAATACGTTTCATCAACTTCAAAAGGTCTACAGAAGGGAACATAGAAATAATAAAGACAATAGGTGGAAGTGGTCAAATTATACTATGTAATACAAAAAGCGGTAAACTTCAAATAAATAGTGCAAAACAGTAGAAAGTTATAAAAATCTATTCGAATAGTTAAACCTATCCATTACACTAATTTAACAGATGAAACACCACGCTGTGTACCATCTTAAAATCAAACAACCACACATTTAAAATGATTTCATTCATGCATATGTACATTTATTTATATATATTATTTATATCTTTGTTAAGAGACCAGCTTTTACAGTTAAGTTACACACTTCACAACCTCTTCAAAGTCCTTTTTTTATCTTTTAGAGACTTCTTCTTGTCTGCCGCTAACTTCTTGTCACCCGCATGTTTCTTAGCCATCGGCCCTTCTGAACTCTCGAGTCCAGGTTTTGGCGGCTTGGGGGCCTGAAAAATAACACATTAGAAATTACTGATGGGAGTGACGGGCCTTTGAAAAATCCTAATATCAATTTTTAAACAGAAAGAGATCCAAAATTTTTTTTTTTGTTTTAAAAAAGTTTTTATACAGAATACCTACTGAAAAAAAACATGGGAAATTTGTCAGAGATTACTATTTTTTATTACTAGAGTCAAGTTTATTACCAAGCAGCTAAGCAAAAACGCAAAATAAGTAAAGAGTAAACAGTTTCAGCAAATTAACGCATGCTTTCTTTCATAAGCTTTAAGTTCCTACTGTGTTTACAAGCAATACAATTAAATACTGGGTTAATAAATAGAGAGAGAGAGAGAGAGAGCACCAAGAAGCATTTTAAGATATATGGGAAAAATCCCAAAAACTGCAAAACTTTTTAAGCATAACCTTTACAGAGTTGTTGGCGTGCCATTTAGTTGAGAGTTAAAAGGGCTACAACATAGTTAATTTTAATTTTTTAAATTAAAAGTGTTAGAGCTGTTTTTATTTATCAAATATTTTCATTATTTAATGGTGATAATAAGAAAATACCCATTTTATATGATAATTTTTCAAGCAAAATAAAAAATATTGCTGCGGGTTTTCTAAGCAAATTAACTGCTACTAAAAACCACATTAAAAAAAATATATATTTATGTTTCCGGCAACATTAATTAATTCCTATGATTGCCATTTTTGACAACGTGATCAGCTCCAGCGAACAACAGAGCCTCTTGTAATCTGGACAATATCGTAACTGTCCCCCGCAATCACAGCAAAATCCACAATAGCGTAAACGAACATGAGCATTTCTTTAGCGTCTCCCACGATCAAAACTTTCCCACACATGATGACATTACAGTACCAATAATATAGAACTGACGGACTGCTGTTTATGAATGGACGATCAGCCATAGGCTATTGACAATAAATTATATCAAATTTCCAGGTAACATGCAAAACGTTTGTACAATTCACAAACTTATGTCCAATTTTCAAAACTAACTTAATTACTTATTTTTCTGTTAGTTGAACATCCTAAAACTCTACCCTGTATTTAAACTATTTTTTAAAGATTAACATCAATGACTTTTCAAGTTATCACAACTCACCGCTGCGTGTATCTCTGTCATCATCCGTGCTCGTTGCGAATAGTCATCGTAGTGTTCCAACAACAGCTTGCCGGCCTCCTCGTTGAGCGCAGACTCTGCGTTGGGCACTATAAGCAGGCACTTGATGGTCAACAGAATGTGTTTAATGCCCAAGTCAGGTTTCCAGTCCTTCTTGAGTGTGTTGACGCAGATTTCTCCGTTAGTGGCAACGTTCGGATGGAAGATCTTGGTGAGGAAGAACGCCTTTGGAGGGCCCTGAGGGAAGTCCTTACCCAGAACTAGCTTTACTTTGAAAAGTCCTCCAGCGTAAGGTGTCCCAGCTGGATAGAAAGACAACATGTATCAAGATTAGTTTATCAATTTAAAAACTTGTTTGTAATTTATGTTGGTTTAAATTGTAGTGGTCATTTTTATACACCAAAACTTTTCCCAATTCCCAATGATTGTGTGAATGAAAATTAGGCCTATTTATTATTTAAGTTGGGTTTTGTTGAGGACTAGTTGACAAATTTTTGTTTGTAAAATGCATTACCCAGGAAATAGGCTACTCTCCAGATAAGGTTTTTGCATCAGTCCCCCCCCCCCAAAAAAAATTTAATATGGTCCAAGTGAAATGCACGAAAAGAAATGTGTTAAGAATGTAGCTAAATTAGTTAAAGGCAAAGTACACAGACCAAAAAAGGCTTTACTGATGTATTTTTATACAAGAATCGATGTAGGGCCTATTATCGTCATATGGCTGGATTATAGACACAACTTACAGATACCACACAATAATGAATACAAAATCTTCCGAAGCAAGATCAACGATTAAGGTGCTTATTATTTTTTTGGAACCAAATAACTAAGGTTTAAGTACTTACCTGGGCCTTCAATAAACGCTTGGATGTCAGTAATGTCCTGTTCATTCAAATTAACTTTTATGCCTTCTAGTGGCGTTTTGACTAAATCTTGTAGCTCTTTAACTACTTGTCTTATGCATTGGGGAGATAAATTCTCCACATTAGACATCTGAAAAAATAGTTTAAAATGAAATTTGTAGGCCTATAGGCCTACACTGACAAAACTAGGACTATATAGTAAATTAACATATGAAAGTCAGAAACTCTACTTAGTTCAAGGATTTGTAAACTCTAATTTTGGTTTGAACGTACTTAAGTTAGGACTGTGTGCTCAAAGTTATTTAAACTAAAAATAAATCAATAGCAGTTAACATCCGTACAGCGCTAGACGAACAGGTGCTTACGTGTGTAAATGGACTGTAGTGAAGTTGTACAGCTCGCTTGATTGCAGATGTGTAAATACATTGGTAACCATCTGAATTATCTAAAATCTGTACCAAAGTTACCAAAAATTTACCGTACCTAACTTATTTTGTACATGGGCCTAACGGAATTTACTGTAGCCTACCTGCCTACGGGTTGGCGTCACTAGGAAGCATAAACATGGATCATTAACTTATAGGATTTAGAACTACCGTATGTAACTTATATACAGGGTGGCGCAGATGGATCGGGTGTTTTTAAAATACTTGTCAAACTGTCAATTTTAAAGGTATTGGATTGAAATAAAGTGCAAAACGTTTAGTTACAATGGAAGTTTATTGTCAAAAAATTAGTTAAGTTAGTTTTTAAAAATTACATCCATCAAATGCCTTCCTTCTCGAGCGACGCATTCTTGGAGACGGTCCTTGAGGTTCCGCATTGCTCGCTCAAGCACATCACCAGGAACTGATGTGATTTCGTTGTGAATCGCAGCCTTCAACTCCTGAAGCAAGGGTCTACATGAACAAACCCCGGACCATTCAGGAGTTGACGGCTGCAATTCACAACGAAATCACATCAATTCCTGGTGATGTGCTTGAGCGAGCACGGAACCTCAAGGACCGTCTCCAAGAATGCGTCGCTCGAGAAGGAAGGCATTTGATGGATGTAATTTTTAAAAACTAACTTAACTAATTTTTTGTCAATAAACTTCCATTGTAACTACACGTTTTGCACTTTATTTCAATCCAATACCTTTAAAATTGACAGTTTGACAAGTATTTTAAAACCACCCGATCCATCTGCGCCACCCTGTACCATAACATTGAGTTCCCTGATTTCCCTAAGTAGGTAACGTTGACTTACCTAGCAAATGTAATTGTCTCTATGGATTAAACAAACGGGGATTGCAACAAACTTTTAAAAGCTAATTTTAAAAGCCTTAATTTATGAAATGGAGAAGGATGAAATGAGTAAGAAAACCACAATAGACTACACAAAAGTCTAGGTTAATAACACAGTCACACACTAAAAATACTGTGATTTGCATTTAAAGTGTTGGGTTGAATTTTGGTTGATCAACCCAACACTTTATTAAATGACAAAATCAGTTTCCAGTCCAACGCTCTGTATGACACTCTTATAACAAACCAAGAACAGCTGATGAATAAGGAGCTGAGAGGTACAAAGTTGTTGTTGTTGTTATCATTTTTGTTATCTTTGTTGGCTACACATTTTTAGTTGTTGTTCTTGTTGTCTTGTCAAGTTCTCTCATTAAGTAGATTCTTAAGCCCCTTTGCATGTTTGGCTTGACCCTTAGTTATAGGAACATTGAGTAAGCATTATATAAAAAAAAATAATTGTAGCCTAAATTGGTTTGTTTGGACCGTTGGAAGCAAAATAAATAAATAAAAGTCCACCGCCCGACCGTCTCCCGCATCACAGTCATGACCTTCACCTGTAACTGTGCGGTCCCCGCTCGGACATTGTAAGTTTTCGTCGGTAGGCCTACTCGTTTTTATTCGTAAAACATCCACGTTTGTACATAATATGTTTCCGTGTTTTGTATGTAAACTCTTGACGACCTTTTCGAAGTGACAGTGTTTTAATGTTCTTGTACAAGATCTGATGATGAAGACTTAGTCTTCGAAACGCGTTATCCGTAAGGAACAAACAGGATCATTCTAGCAGTACTCAGGTAATTTTATACCTTTTATAGTTTGTTATGTGATCCAGAGACAAAACAACTCTAAATATGAATAAGTTAGCTTAGAATGTGAGCTTTTTAGTGTACCGGTACTTAGCTTGGTGCTAAAATTTCCCGTAAAATCCCGTCTGGCAATGCTTTTGTGCTGCGAGCCACATTACAATGACACTGGCTACGGACCCAGGCAGTGCTGCTCCGTTCGGATGTTTCAGTGAACTACGTCCACTCTCGGGATAACACAGCACAATCACCACTGCACTTTTGTGATTCCTCAGACTGAAATATTTGAATGCCAATTGCGTAAACTGATTCGGTGGTACACCGTGGGATACGCTTGGGCTTCGCTGCCATTGGTGAACGCCTGTTTTTTTAAAGGTTTCCAGCACTCACCATGTTAAATTTAGCTCATTAGGCCTACTTAATTAAGCAGACCTGAGATGATTAGGGTCAAGAAAGAAACTTTACTCAATTAAATAAGCACTTAAGATAGTCCTAGTTCTGTCTCGTGGAAATATTATTTTAGTATGCTACTTTGTATTTTAAATTATTAAACATCAATAACACTATACTTTGAGAAAAAGTAGTTCCTTTTAACCTATGGGCCAACTATAGATGGATTATAAAAGAAACTTAACCAGATTATAGGATATACCTGTGAGAAAACAGTATTTAAATAGGAGTCAAAACTACAAAAAATCTATTGTAAAAAGTATAAATAATTATAAATAAAGATTTTGGGCCCCACGTAAGCTAAGTCGTTGTTAGTCTCGTAGCATAGCATTTTGGACGCAAACAAAACGTCTATGGCTCCAACTGTAAAAGCATAACAAAAAGTAATCGAAATTATTGAACTTACCGAGCTCATATTCCACACTTCTCTGATTTTAAATTAGCTAAAACTGAAAAACTTATATTAATAACAAATGTATAGAGATAACTTCATAAATAAAATATAATTGAAAGAATAATAATGGTCGATAATGGAGGGCAGAATTTTCTTCGCCTTCGTTCGACCAATCCAGTAAGTGTAGAACACAAAACAGATGAGATGAGGAGAGGATGGAAATAACCCAGAAATTTGAAAACTTCGACCAATAGAAAGCGTGCATTTCGGAGCTGAGAGTATTGAACTTTGCTAGAAACAAGCCAACGGAAATCGATAAAACACAGGTTGTATATTTTATTGTGGCTGTAATATTTTTTAACGTACTTTAATTAAATCATTGATTAAACATACGCTCTTATATATGTTCAGATCTGATGATATTTGATCTTTTGATAATGATCAAATAGACAAGCTATTGGCGTAATTGGAATTCTTTCTGTATTTATCTAAAAAAAATAACCAAGTTCAGTACTTTAACACTTCAACACTTTTCGATGAAATGACAACCATACAAGGTAGGTATTTTAAGCCAAGTATGAATGGAGATGAGTGTAGGATGAGTGGCGCGATCTTGTAGTCTTGTTAATGACTAAGGCCGACAAATTAAGTAAAATATAAATTAGTTAAACGTTGTGAACAGTATCTGACACATGTTGATAATTGTTAAAGCTCATTTTGAAATCGAACCCTTTTAGCCACTCATAATTTTCCCAGGCCTCTGGGGACATCAAAACGAAAAAGTAAATCGGTCCCGGGTCCAGGCACGGCCACCTTCAATTCCAGGCCGCAGCCTGGTAGAATTGGTAACGTCGAAGTAGGGTTGTTTAGTGTCAGACGTCCCATAAGATAACATGGGCATGGCAGACAGGTGACATCAGGTCACTAATTCGCACTTTATTGATTTAAATATAAATTTATTAAAATATTGAAAATTAAACATACAGAATGGAAATCAAAACAATGATATGAATTGAAAATCTACATCTTCACATTTGAAGCGAAATCAATATTTTCATAGTGCAGTAACCAAGCTTTCGTAAAAATATACAAATACAATAAACAGCTGCTTCCAAACAAAACAGCTGTTACAACCCTACTTGCGACGTTGCCACTTCGAAGGCCGCGGCCTGGAGTTAAAGGCGGCCGCGGTCTACGGTAAAAGCTTATTTCCTATATGCGAAATTCACATGGAGATTCAAAATTAATGAAACTAAATCTGTTCACCTTGGTCTGATCCTAACGTGTGTAATTTATTTCAGTATGCACACCGTATGTACACCGTCGTATAATAAACTTGTCAAGAAATAATAACCATGTAAGACATAAAACATAAAAAAAACATAAAAAAAGAAGCTTGGCATGTTATTTATTATTTATTGTATTGTTGACGTAGCCTATTGTCCTGTATGAATTGAATGGCCGAATAAATCATTTGAATCATTTTAACGTTGACTAAAAAAAACTCTGGATGTATGAAGAAACTACAGTCACAGTGCTTGCAACTGCTCAACTACTGAAATCATTCCTTCCTATAAAGGAAATTCAATGGTCAAATTCGACATCTGTTTTTACTCTTTTGCCTTTGCCTTTGCACTGCCTCACTGATCGTCTGTTTCTAGTTCTGCTACTGCTACTGTAGTCTTTCTCTTTCTTTAGTCTGCACCTGAACTGCACTCTGTTGTCTGTAGTGTGTAGTGAATAAAAATGTTATGTCAAGTTGAATGTTGATTTTGTTTTGTTGAACTTAGTAGATGGCTGGTGTTGGTAGATAGAGAGGAATGGGCAGTGAATAGTATTTTTGTTATAGGAAATAACCACTTCTTTGCATATAGTTTATAGGTGTACTATTTCAACAATTATAAATATTTAATGGTGTCAATGTCATACTTGTGTCTTGATGGTTGCATTGAAATATTATTGCCAAAGGTGTGGTGATTTGTGTATTCAACAACACAGGCTTTTCCCTCACAAAAAATTGTTGTTTTGATAATTTCTGCCAAAGTTTAAGAAACTCTCAGTTTATTTTTTCCTTAATCAACAACATAAACTTAACTGTCAGTGTATTTTTTGTCTTTTAAATTAGCCTAACTCTTAACATCTGTTTAGCCTAGACCTAGCTATTCTTGGCTTACCTAGAACTATGCCTCCACTAAAAGAAAATGCAAATAATAACAATGTATCTGGAACATCAGTCAAATCAACCTCACCCTCTCCTGCTCAATGGTATACATTATCAAAAAGTAAAGATGGTTCATCTGTAGACAAAGTTTATTCCAATCGATATTTTCCTGTAAAAGTTCTTCAAAATCTTAATAACCTACGACAAAACAGTAGATTTTGTGATGTTTCTATTGTTGCTGGTGGAAATGTGATGAAAGTAAGTATAAATCTAGAATAAATAAGATGTTCTTTAGATAATAATGGGCTGCACTTTACTTTAGGTCCTACACTCATTCGAATGAAAATATCGATTAGGGCCTATTCGATTGTTTCATTCGATATATCGTTTGGTTAGTTAGGTTAGGTGTTAGTATGGTAAATAATTACCAATCAAAGTAGGGCCTACCTACCTACTGTCAAATTTTAAGACCTGACAGAAATCAGGAACAAATTTTGATTGTTTAACTTGGCTGCACTTTAGTTTACGTCCTACACTCACTCGAATGAAAAATATAGATAATTCGATATACCAATTATTTCATTCCGTTAGTTAGGTTAGGTTTCAACCTAACTAACTAAACTTGATACGTCGAATGAAATAATCCTTATCGATCGATATAAGTTAAGTTAAGTATTTATTCCAATTTGTGTAGGACGTGAACTAAAGTGCAGCCTTTATCTTGTTTGGTAAAAGTAGAGGGTACAGTTTCCTAACTGGGCTATGCTAATATCGATTGAAACTATCGATTCGATTAGTAAACTTTCATGCGGTTTTTCACCATCAGCAAGTTTGGTTGGTTAGGTTAGGTTATGATAGTTTACAGTAGACTCCCTCTAGTTCGGCCACCTCGGGACCGGACCACTGGCCGAACGACAAAACGGCCGGACTAACCGGATGTAGTGCATTTTACATCATCAAAATACAAATCATAGTATTGCGCAATCATGATATGTTAAGTCAATAACCTTGGTTCAGTAATAAAAACTGTAACGTTAAAATCACGCTTGCTCAAGCAAAACAAAAATTACACAACACTGAACGTACAACAATAAATCACGTAAAGAACAGAAAAAAATGGTTACTAATCACCCAATCACAAACTGTTTGTGAGATAGCAAACAAGTGCACAGCAGACATCAGTTGTGTAAAGAACTGATGATTGTCAGTGCAAGCGGATAGCTTGACCTTGAAGCTAACGATGGCTATTTCTTTGTTTTGCTTTAATTTATTTTTGTCAAATAAACTGTGGTGTTTCAAAAATAATAATGGGAGAACCTACCGCATAAAAAAATGGTCCGAAATATTTAATTATACACTGCATTTCAACTTATTAGACCGAAGAGAAACTATTTATAAAATGTTCTCGGTATTTTTGAGGTTATGTAACATAGTTTTACATAGGTAGGCTAATATGCAACAATTCACCCATAGAAACACCCGTCAACTAAACTGACATGAATTGTTTACTTCTCTGGCCGGAAACTAAACTTACTTACTTACTTACTGCCGTGGCTCTTGGTACCCAAGGAGGTACTTTGCCTCGCCAACACACTGCCTCCAGACTACACGATCCATTGCTTCATCCTCTCTTCTTCCCATTCTTCTCAGATCTCTTCTCACTTGATCTCTCCACCTCAACTTGGGCCTTCCAGGAGGTCTTCTACCCTCAGGATTGTTGTTTAGGGCGTTTCTCACTAAGGATCCCTCTTCCTTTCTTAACACATGGCCTGCCCATCTCAATCTCCTACTTCTCACCTCAGCCACAATATCTGGGTCCCTGTACAACTCTCTCAACTCCCTGTTGTGCTTAACTCTCCATTCTCCGTTTTCAAAGGTTGGTCCAAAGATTTTCCTTAGAATCTTGTTTTCGAACACTATAAGTCGTTTCTCAGTTCTCTTGCTTATCACCCAATTCTCTGAGCCATATAGTAATACTGGTCTTATATATACGGATTTTAGCTGGTTTTGTATATACGGATTTTAGTTTTCTGTGAGAGTAGGCGAGAACTCAACAATTTGTGGCATGCCGATAAACTTTTATGAGCTGCATTTAATCTTTGCTGAATTTCAGAGTCTTCCTCATTATTATTCGTCAGCATTACTCCTAGGTAAGAGAAATTGTTTACTTTATAAAATTTGTGTCCTTCTATTTCTACATGATTTTTATTATTTAATTGGATAGCTCTTCCACATTCCATTATCTTGGTTTTGTCTACATTGATATTTAAGCCAACTTTTTTAGTGTGGTTTATGAGTTTTGAGACCATAATTTTTAGTTCTTCTTCGTTTTTGGCCACAAGTGCCACATCATCTGCAAATGCCAGGATATTAATGTTGGTTCCCATAGTAATTCCAGCTTCTAGCTTTTGTAATTCTTGTAGAGAGTCTTCCAGAGCTAGGTTGAATAACAATGGGGACAAACCATCTCCTTGTCTCACACCAGTATTTATATCAAAATCCTCTGAGAATTCTCCATTGACTTTAACCTTGCATTTAGATCCTGAAACAGTTGACTTTGATAGATTTATTAACTTTTTAGGTTACTAAATCGGAAACTAAACATTCAAGTTAAATCGTCTCGAAGGCAATTCCCCCCGTGACGATGTGACTTGTCCCCCTGAGACCAGGCCGGACCATCCGGCGGCCGATCCAACCGAAGCCGAACTAGAGGGAGTCTACTGTAATTTTATATTACCAGTAGATATATTAAAAAATATTGATTATTATACAATAATTTCAATTAGATAGTTTCAATCAATATTAGCATAGCCCAGTTAAGAAACTGTACCCAAAGTAGAAAGTGATAAGGTCCTGTTGTACGTGGCCATCACTGAAACCAGACATTCGATAAATGTTTCAACCTAATGATATAATTATGAGTAGGCCTAATATAATGAATTCACGTGATAATGACACATTCAGGTTCATCGCTCAATCTGATTGTAACTTTGTGATATTTTATACCGGTAAGTAAGTTAATAGCCTATGGTTTTTTTCAAGCCTTTTTGAAACTAGCTTTTGAACTTACTTATTACAGTTGATTCTAGTCAAATTTAAGGCTTTTGTGAAATTCACAAATAATTGATAGTTAAATTGAAATATTTTTCTGTATTTTCAGGTCCATCGAGCTATACTGTCTGCAAGCAGTCCTTATTTCCAAGCAATGTTCTCAAATGGTTTGGTTGAAGAACAAAAAGAAACTATAGAACTGCACTCTATCCCTCCTCAGATACTTAATTTATTAGTGGATTTTATTTACACAGGTTTGTAGCTGTAGGCCTACGGTATTCAAATCATAAATTACATGATTTATGTGCATATACAAACTATTTTACAATTTGAGCTTTAAAGGTCACTATACCTTGTAATTAGTAATAGCTTGACTGGCTGGTAGCTGACTGGTTATAGTGCTCGCCTAACAATCAAAAGGTCACTGGTTCGATCCTGAGAATAAGTTCTAGCTTTATGATGGTTCGAAACTGGACCCAGCTGTCCCTGATCATTAAGCTTTAAATAAATGGTTCTGACTATTGAAACAGCTCAGTCAAAAGCTACACAGAACATCTCACACCACTCTAAGCTCATCCTTCACTCATATTTGGGTTAAAATACACACCCAGAGGGCGTCCCCATGTCAATTTATTGATAATTGAATTGATAAATGATAAGACAAAAAATCTTTACCCACTACTGTATGTGCCAGAACTCAAGAAAAACGGATGAAAGCTAAGCCTATGCCTGTGCTGCAACGTCAGCCAAGTTTGAAGAGAACAACAAGGAACTGCTATGTTGGAGCGTTTTGTTTACGGAGGAAAATTGCTTAACCCTCCAAGGGTCACGCGTCAAAAAATAGACGCACAACACACTTTGTGTAGGGTCACGCGTCTAGTTTAAGACGCACAAACATCGTTTACGGCGAAGGCTCTATGACTGACTGAATCGGATTGAACTGGATCGAGTTAGGTATCGTTCTTTTCATTAGATTCTAAGCTTTCTAAAGGTCTGTCTCTAAGCGCTGTTTGTTCTCTGAGCCGATCGTAATTGTTAGCAGACAGCTGACGTGCATATTAGTAAACAGGTTACTTAACCTCGGACCGATGACTGATGTGTTTTATTATGTTTATCATTGTTTTAGTGTTAAAAATCAAAAGTAGTGATATACGTGGTGCATTATAAGAAGATTTAAGTGGTTTTGAAGTACTGGTTGATGATCCTGAAGAAGTAGGTAGTGATATTGATGTAAATTATCAGCCAGATTCCTAGCTATGGTTAGGCTATGCATTCTTAGCTAAACGCTATGTACTGAAATCCGTTTTTCGCTCATAACTTATTTATTTGATAACTTACCTCGCTATATGATTATATATTTGTAATCCTCATTAAATTTAGAACAAAGTGGCTATTTTCAAATATTTATAGGCCTATAATTTATACAATTTCATTGAGCGCGAACGTATTTTTTTTTTGAAAATTTTCGAAATTATATTTTTTTTTACCTAAAAAATTTTTTTTGAAAAAATGTTCCTTATGTTTTATATATAATATTGAAGCCCATGATTTTCCAAACAAAATGGTATATAGAACATTAGAATTAACATTGTTTTAAGCTTCTCAGATCCGTTTTAATAAAACCTTACAAAGGGGCCAAAAATAGGTGGACATTAAGGCCTAAACTATGGACCTTTGGAGGGTTAATTTTTTTTTTTTAAGAGGTTGGCTGCCTCTTTTAACCTTGCATTTGCCTGTCCACATAGACTAAGCGCCCGTGCTTGGATCGTTTACAGCAAAGCAAGGAGTGAGCCGGTACAGTACAAAGGTGAACTGTACTGATAAAATGTTATCGGTAGTGACCAGGATCCGAACCCACGACATCGCTGCCTTGGGCCCGAAGTCCGCGACGCTACCGACTGAGCCACCGACTCACTAAATGGCATAACTGTACGCTTTTAGCTCCGCATCATAGCTCTATATTATGTTGTATGGGAAATATACTTGTGACGAGCAAGGAAGAGCCCGAGCCCAGTGTTGGACTTGGCCCTAGATAAAAAGCAAAGGCTAGTGGACGACACTTTGAGTGTACCATTGTATGTTTCCTTCCTACCTTACTGTCAAAAAGAGATGAAATTCTCAAATGAACACATATAATTTTCGTCACTACTTATTCAGTTGTAGAGTCGTTCTTTAGCCGATCTTTATTCATACTTTTTCATATATTTTTATCATTTAGGTGCGCCTACTATTATACCCTACCTATTCATAATAAAATCCTTAAAAACCCTATCATAAAGACTTCTTAACCGAAAAATGATCTTTAAATGTTGCAGGAGAGATAACCATAAACCAAGATAACGTTCAAGACTTGATAGTAGCAGCTGACATGTTGGAACTTAACGAGGTGGTGCTGGGCTGTACAGAGTTCCTGAAGCAAGAACTTCACCACACAAACGCTATTGGAATTTACAGGTGAACCTAACGATATGTTTTTCAATATTTATTTACCTTTATATGTTACCCTCCTCTTCTTGATCTAAAAACATTAGTAATGGTTTACTAGGCCTGTAGTTTTTTCTCTGTTCAGACATATGGCATTAAAAGAGTGTCTTTTTGTCCGAAAAAGGGCTCTGCATATCCGGTTTACCAACACTCCGTTGATAGAGGAGTCTTCCAGGTCCAAAATTTGTTATCAATGCCCTCAATGAGCAATAACGTCAGCAGTTATTCATCTGAATGATATTCCAACGGTTGGTCAATGTCATAGATTAGATATTCAACTAAACATCATCGTCTGACACACTTTGAAATGAATGTAAATATTTCTGGACCCCTCTTCTATAATAAGGTTCCTGAAGAAATAAAACAGAACAGTGCGGTTCTAAAGGTGTTGGGAAACATAAATAAGCATTTTTTTTTTAAATCTAAGATAGCCTATTTTTTTAAAATTATTTTTATGTTCTGATATCAAGTTAAATCAACTAGCCTAAAGAAGAAATAAAAATCTATGTTTAAGTGTGTGGTAAATAAAAAAATATCCATCAACATCTTTGTTAAAATATTATCAGCTGCTTAAAGACTAATAGGAAACAGCAAATGTTCTATTGGTCGCAATGCAACCAACTACTAATCAATATTCTTAAATTACACTTCCCCTCTCAATACTGTTAACATGAAGCCTTACCTAGTAATAGATCAGATTTCTTTCTTACTCAAGGCTATTATTAGTTTATGTATTGCATGTGATTGCAACTTTCTAATGGTTTTAGTTACTTGTAAACAGTTTGTATGCATTTTTCAAACAAAAGCACTTTAATTTTACTGAGGATGTTTAATGATGATCCATATTGCCTTGTTTATTAAATTACACTATTAGGTTTTTTTATGTTTATGCAAAGTGTGTGTATCCCCTTTATATTTCTACTAGCTGCTTTGCCCCGTTTAACTTCTTAATTTTCAAGATGATCTCGTTCGCATGGCTCAATCACGTCCTGGTTGAAGTTCGTTCGCTACGCTCACTCACCTTTAGGTTGGAGCTCGTTCGCTGCGCTCACTTGCCTTCAGGTTAGCTCGTTTGCTACGCTCACTTGCCTTCAGGTTAGCTCGTTCGCTACGCTAACTCGCCTCCAGGTTGAAGTTCGTTCGCTACGCTCACTCACCTTTTGGTTGCAAATTAGCTGTTGTCATAAATGTAAAAGAAATAATAGTGCTGCACCCTGTTGGTAATCCTTGTAACTTTAATGCTATTGAACATCATAGAACAGAACCAACTTGTTTAATTGAAACAGCTGTTAAGATTCATTAATTCCATTTCTCATAAGGTTAACATGGGAAACTCCAGAGCCACTGGGGCGGAGCTGATTGGACGGATCACGAAATTGATGGTGTATAAACCTATTCCATGAAATTCTACACGTATGTACCTTCGTGGCAATCGGTTCAGCGGTGTCTGAGTTTATCACTGCCAAACAAATATATATATATACAAACATCCTCTTTTATACTTACAGATTCATTTTTTAATGAAAAAAAAATAGTTGTTAGGGCCTACATGATTATTAATAGGGCCTACATGGAAATTAATAAGTACGGTACAACTGTTTACAGAAATGTTTTGTTACTTTTTTCTTACTGCGAAGGATTCACCTATTGGGTCTGATGATGATTGGAGTGTCCAATCGAAATCGATCACCACTTACCTTTTTTTTTTGTATATTTACCGTCTTGTGAGTAACAGTGTAAGCGTAAATATATGTTTTAAGTGTTATAAGACGTTTCTTTTATTTACTTTCCGTAAATTTAATAACACGTACAATGCTGATCAAGAAGTTATTTAGTAAAACTATCAGCATAATTTTCGGGAATGGGGGTTTTATGGGGTTAAAATTGAATTTTCATATTTTTGACCCCCGAAACATGAGATTTTGTAATTTATTTCTAATTCATTATGTAGAGCTTACAAGGAAATAATTTATTATTTTGAATTGCTGACCTTCCCTTAACACGTTCGCTACTGAGTGTCGCATATATGCGACGCCGCGGTCATTGCCACAGACCGAGGTATACATTTGAATCTTACACATAGACCGGCTGTCACTTGGATAACAGTACACACAGACCACGGGCGAAAACCTGTAAAACAATGATCATTTACATTGTAATACGCTACAATCGTGTTTGTAAATAAATTATTCTTGTTTTTTTGTATTTTTTATAACCTTTAGTAATGTCGCATATTTGCGACGCCCGGTCTACAGCGAAGACAATAGTGAAAATTATCATAGTTTTCTTGAAATAGACTAAACGTCGCATATATGCGACAGTTCATTTTTTTGTGTTTTAAGGTGAAAGTAAGTAAACAAATTAACAGATTATTCAAGAACAGTTTATAACTGAACAAATATAAAAGCTACATAGGATAATACAGCATACATACTGCATACATACATACAGTGATGCAGAAAAGTAAAGACCAGTTTTTCCAACTATTATATGACGTCACCAATCATCATATTCACAGACCAAGCGACGCAGTTGTGCGTCAGACATCTCTGTAGACCACTGCAGGGAATTCAGTGCCTTCAAATAGACCATTACAAAGATATAAGCATTTTAATAACATTAGAACCCCGACGCAAATATGCGTCGGCAGTCTATTTTAATGTGACTAGCATATATGCGACGGCAGTCTATGGGTGGAAACCGGCCGTCGCATATGTGCGTCGCTGGTCCATGTGAATGAAAAATTTCGTGTTATTGCAGTAGCGAACGTGTTAAGCAGCAAACCCAAGTATTTGTTTAATTGAGACTGAATCTGTAATGGAGTTATTCAAGTGAATGTCCAATCAGATAATTGGGAATACGCTTAGTCTGCAGGCATGCTGCGGCAGGGGTATTTATCATCCACAACTTGGTATTGTTGCAGGTTTGCAGACGCGCACAACTGTGGTGACATGCGAGCAACATCTTTAGACTACATACAGAACCACTTTCCACACATCTGTTTGGAGGAGGAGTTCCTTGATTTGCCCAAGGATCAGCTGGTGTTTTTCCTTTCCAGTGAATTGCTTAGGGTGGACAGTGAATACCAGGTATTCCGTTATTTATTTTAGTTACTAGTTGTTTACTACGCTGGTTGTCTGATCAATTAGTTTGCCGCGTAATTCTTGTGGGAAATCCATAACTGATTTTAATATACTGTAGTTGCTGATATGTTTTGTTGTGATAAAAAATAATGTAAGTTTTATTATTAATTACGGTACCTTTCTTAGTTGCCTTCTTGAGCTATTTCTTAAGATCAGATCCAAATTTTACAATGCCGACGCAATTGGGTCTTTATTTTAAGGCGAATATAAGTGTACAATCAGTGTTGAATGAAGATTTTAAAAAGGACAAGCTTTGTTACCGACTAAGTGCTGATAGTCGTTTAGGCCTATGCAATTGACTCGTTCTCTCTCTCTCTCTCCCTCCCCCCCTCTCTCTCTCTCTCTCTCTCTGTTACATCAGCTGGTCTACCTTTAATAATGCAGAACAGGGTATCATTTATTAACACGTTGACTGCGCGCGCCGACTTTACAGGCGCTCCCCAGTGGCGGGCGAAGCCCCGGCGCGCAACCGAATCAGCGAACGCAATTGGCATTCAAATATTTCAGTCTGACGAATCACAAAAGAGCAGTGGTGACTGTGCTGCGTTACCCCGAGAGTGGATGTAGTTCACTGAAACACCCAAAGGTAGCAGCACTGCACGGATCCGTATCCAGTGTCTTTGTAATGTGGGTTGAAGAGAAAAAATCCCCGAAACCGGGACAAAAGCATTGCCAGACAGGATTTTACGGGAAATTTTAGTACCAACCTACACCAAAGTAAAGCTCGCATTCTAAGCTGGCAGGCTGGCAACGATTATTACTTACCTTTTTACCTTTTTGGCTATAAATAAACTATCTCGTCAGTCTTATACACAACATGGACTACACTTTAACAAGCAAGGCAAATTAATAATATCAAAAATGATTAAAGAAATATTTGTTCCAAGGATTAAAACTGTTGTTGGTTCTAAAGAACAAACACAGTCTGCTTACATAAAAAACAATAATATTAATGTCATTGAAGCTAACATGTGGGAAGTGATTAATGCTAAAAAAAAGCCCCTACCACAGCATTTGCGCATACCATATCAAGAGATATACAACACTACAGAAACATGTCTGCTGGTGTAGCGGTTGTGTTTCGTAAGGTATTTGGTAGGCCTAAGGACACAGACTTCATCAACACAAGATTGACTAGCCAGACTGAATCAGGGGGTGCCACAGTCTACAGTCTTGTCTCAAAGGAAGAATATAGAGGAAAGCCAACACTACCAACGTATGATGAGGCGTTTGAACACTTGATTGAGGATTTTAAAGTAAAGCAATTTGATACTTTAATATGTTCTCCTATGGGCTGTGTGCGTGACTTAATACCTCTCAACCACTTTGCAAAAAATATTGTAAAGCTGCACAAAGTGACTAATGCTACGATATATGTAGTGTCCTGTGATCAACCAGCTGCTCAGCGAAAATTATGGAATGGACTATCACATACTGCATTTCTGGATCAGCTAAGGAAGACAATAGACAGTTGCTGTTGTGAAATTGATGCCCCAAACATTCTAACTGATGCTTGCATCAACTCGCCTGCTTCACCTTCAGAGGATCTGCAGTCTTTGGAGATCTCACGGGGCTCTGGTAACTCAACAAACACAACTAAGATGGTTTCGTCTGATTGTAAAGCACCTGGAGCTGACGGCCAACTTACAAACCAGATGTCAACACATGGTGAAGAAGTTAAAGTGGTGCCCGGCGACCTCACATACTGTGAGGCGTTAAAGCAGAGCAGTGATAAAAGTGTCATGAGTGATAGTTTAAATACAAGCAATAGTTTAAATACAAGCAATAGTTATAGTTCGACCCAGTCCCCTTCAACTAATCAACCACACCGGATCCTTCCTGACCCTAAACCGGATTTAAACTCTTCGCCGACAGTTTTCAAGGATCCAGACTAAAGTTTAAAAATCAAAACTCAACAAATAGCAACAAAATAAACACATTTTCAATTTTTCATCAAAATATTCAACATTTAAATTCCCGGAAAGAACCATTAGAAGTTGTTTTAGAAGAAATTAAACCCAATATAATTGTTTTGACCGAACACAACATGAAAGAATATGAAATAGAAAGATTTAATTTAACTAACTTTTCTGTTACTTTTGCATACTCTCGTACAACCACCTCTGGCGGTGGCGTGATGATTCTGTCGGAGAAGAGTTTGAACTCAAAACCCCTAACCTTAAAAAAAGTTGATGAACTGACCGAGGACAAGCTTTTTGAGTGTTGTCTGGCTAAATATAGAATAAAAAAATGGTCTTTTGTGCTGGTAGGAGTTTACAGAAAACCTCAATTACAAACATTAGAATTTTTAAGTAGATTAGATAGGTTAATTGAACTTTTAGTTTCTTTAAAAGACGAAGTAAATTTTGTTATTGCTGGAGATTTTAACCTTAATGTATTAATTACAACAAATGAAGTTCAAACTTTCAAAAACATCCTAAGAAGCTACAATTTTAATTATTTAGTAAATTTTCCTACAAGGGTAACCAGTAATACTGCCACAGCTATAGATAATATTTTGACAAATATAGATAAGTCATTGACACATGTTACTGGAATCATAACATCTCTTTCCGATCATGATGGACAAATTTTAGAACTAACATTACCCAAATCTAAGAAATTAAATTTGCCCAGTGAATATGTTGAATGTAGAGATTTTTCAGATAATAATATGAATATTTTTAAAAATATTCTTTCCTATGAAAACTGGCTTCCATTATATTTATCGAAAGTAGAGAATAAGTTTGATGTATTTAACAACATTTTTCAATATAATTTTAATTTAGTTTTTCCAAAAAAGAAAATCAAAAGATACTTGTATAAAAGGAAAAGTAACTGGATTACTAAAGAGCTGATGATGGAGAAAAAGGATATAGTTGAACTATCAAAATATGCTAGACTTAGTGGTAATGTTGATATAATTAATTACTGTAAATTAAAAGATAGAGATTACAAGAATAAACTTGTTAAGGCTAAGAAAACTTTTTATGATACAAAAATTAACAAATCTGAAAATGTCTGCAAGAATACCTGGGAGATAATAAATGAAGAGACAGGAAAAAATGTTAATAGCTCAAGAGGAGCAATCAATGTAATAAAAATAGATGGTGAAGCTGTATGTGATCCTCTGAGCATCTCAAACTTGTTTAATTACTACTATATCAATGTAATAGATGATCTTGTTCAGGATACCTCAAATAATTCAACGTTGCCCAATGGAATAAATTTACAGGACAACATAAATCATATTAAAATCTTGAATCCTTTTAAATCTAAACCAGTTGATGAAGCAGAGATTGAAAAAATTATTTTGTCCTTAAAAAATAAGTTATCAAGTGGCCACGATGAAGTTCCTTTAAAGTTAATTAAAAATACAGTAAAACCCTTGTTAAAGCCATTAGTTCACTTAGTTAACAGTTCCTTAATAACCGGAGTTTTTCCTCAAAGTTTAAAAATGTCCAAAGTAGTGCCCATTTTTAAGAAGGGTGAAAAAACTGAAAGAAGTAATTACCGTCCTGTTTCTGTCTTACCTGCTATTTCAAAAATATATGAGCGGGTGATGTATAATAGATTGTTTGAGCATTTACAAAATAATAACCTTTTAGACGAAGAACAGCATGGTTTCCAAAAAGGAAAATCAACCACTTCAGCTCTGCTGAGGTTTGCGGAAACAATAATTGAATCTATTGACAAGGGGGATAAGGTAGCCAGTGTCTTCATGGATTTGTCAAAAGCATTTGACAGCGTGTCTCATGAAATACTACTTAAGAAGCTTAAAGTTTTGGGCCTGCCAGATGTTCCTTTAAAATGGTTTAGATCATACCTCTCCGATAGATCTCAGTATGTTGAAATAGTTTCAAAAAAAGGAAACCAAGTCGTAAAAAATAAATCACAAACATTAAAAATTAAACATGGAGTTCCTCAGGGATCTATTTTAGGACCATTATTATTTCTCTGCTATGTCCGTGGAATGCCCTCAATTTTAAAATCAAACATAGAAGCCAAAAGCCAGTTACTATTGTACGCAGACGATTCAAACCTAATTATTTCAGCTAAAAATTACCAAAATCTTGAACTGGCCTGTAATGAAAATTTGAGTAAAGTTCAATCATATTTTCTTAAAAATAAACTTTTTTTAAACTGTCAAAAAACCAACCAAATCGTTTTTTCAGCCTCACAAAGAAAAGAAACAATAGAACCAAACATCCTGGTTGGAAACGAAAAAATAGAAAATCTAAAGCATACTAAATTTTTAGGGCTTTACGTAGACACATATTTTAAATGGGATTATCATACACAATTCATAACACAAAAAATTTCTTCAGGGTTATATGTTTTGAGGCGTATGTCACTATTATGTAGCCTGGACACCCTAAAATCAATATATTTTGCCCATATACATTCCCATCTGTCTTATGGTCTGGCAATCTATGGAGGAACGTCTAAACAAAATTTAGATACAGTTCTGAAACTCCAAAAAAAAGCTATAAGAATCATGTTATACTTGGACAAACGAATAACTGTGAAGGATAAATTTTCAAAACTACATATTTTGACTGTCTATGATCAGTATATAGTAGAATGTATTATGTGTGTCAAAAATCAACTACACAATTTGGAAATTAGAAAAAATGTCCATTCATATGACACTAGAAATAAGAATGATATAAATTTATCAAAACATAACCTCAGCTTCTTTGAAAAAAAGGGAACCTTTATGGGATCAAAATTTTTAAACCATCTTCCTACAAAATTAAAAAGTAAAATAAACCAAAATAATTTCAAAAAACTAGTTAAGAATCATCTGTTGCAAACGAGTTATTATTCATTTGAAGAGTTTTTTCAATGTAAAAACGACTAAATAAATAAGGTTGAGGTGCTCTGATGGAAAAAAATAAAAAAATGAAACTGTATGCGGTTCTTACTTTTCTGTAAATCGAAATCAAAATGCATACAAATTAGTTATAGTCTGACACTATTCATGTATGTACATACAATATGAATAAAGAATTTTTGATTTGATTTGATTATAACGTCTCCGTCTGAGGCTAAGCTCACACTGACTCAATATATTTCTGTTGGTCTGGTGCCGACTTTAGTCGGCGCGCGCCACCTGGGAGCGCTGGTGACGCCGACTAAAGTCGGCACGCGCAGTCAACGTGTTAAAAGCCCAATGGCCAAGGCCAGCTGTTAAAAATATTTTTACTTTTCTCAGGAATTAATTAGAAACCTTGTGATTATCAGGCGAGCACTATATCCAATCAGAACCCAGCTTTATTTATTCATCATGCTTTCTTTGTAACCTATTTATATGCGTTAGGGAATAGAATTTAGATGTACCAGTTTAAGGTCAAAATCCACAGCTGAGGTAACAAGAACACATGTGATTCTTTTAGAGTTTCACTGAAAACAATTTTGAGTAAGTAATTACCTCAACTTTTGTTTCTAGGTGTTCCAAGCAGCTTTGAGGTGGATCTCGCACGATGTTACGCAACGTAAACGCTACATTTTCGAACTGCTGAAACACGTTAGGTTGCCCCTGCTATCTGTGTGCCTTCTAGAGAAGACCATCACCGAGTGTACGGATACTAGCTTGAAGGTAACGTTGGAATTACAACCTTGATAACAAGAATCATTGACAAGACTATAGTTTGAATTCCGTGATAATGAAAGTTCTTTTCAAATTTCTTGGGTTGTTACGAAGGTTTTCGCAGCCTGTGCCAGATACCGATGACTTTGGCATTAACTTATACTTAGGATGTTACTTTACACTTAAGAGTAAAGATAGTCTGGCAGTGAATTGTCGTATTGAGTAACCTAGTGCCATTGTCAGTGTTCCCTAGACTGTGCACCAACTAAGATATCTTTGTCGTCAGAGGGTCTAATATAACTAACAGTTTCCTCTGTTCCACTCAGATTGCACTGCGTAGTGTCCACAATGACCTGTTGACTCGCAAGGGTAACCTAGTGCCATTGTCAGTGTTCCCTATACTGTGTACCAACAAAGATATCTTTGTCATCGGAGGGTCTAATATAACTAACAGTTTCCTCTGTTCCACTCAGATTGCACTGCGTAGTGTCCACAACGACCTGTTGACTCGCAAGGGTAACCTAGTGCCGCTGTCGGTGTTCCCTCGACTTTGCGCCAAGAAGGATATCTTTGTCATCGGAGGGTCCAAGAGAGAACTTATGAGTGCTTGGACACGATCTTGCGAGTGCACATTCGAGTCTGTCGAGCGCTTCGATACGTTCAGAAGGTAAGGATTGTTTTGCCTTTGTTTCTTCATTATTACTTAGTGCACTAAGACTTGTAGTAATGGGTACGCAGAATCATTGTATACTGAAGTATATATCTTACATATATAGACCAGTTGTAATCTTTTTTTCTTATACAACAAATCTTAGTCGAGTGAAACACTTACAGGGTGCGTTAGACGGAAAACTCCTTTATCTCCCTTAGTTTTTGTTTGTGAAATAGTAGCACTTTTATTTTGACAAGTGATTGCTGGATTCCGCAAAATCACAAGGATGTTAAGTGACATAATTTAAATTTGGTTTCAAATAGTTTATTCAATTCAGCAACAGGATATAAATAGTACAAGGTGAAGGTGATCTGTAACAAACGTTGGACTAGCTTTAACGTTTTTTTCTTGGTCCAAGCCAATTCTAGGGATTTAGCTATTTTTTTCTAGCAACAGTGAAGCTGTGATTAACCAGAACATTGGGAAAAAGACATTTTAGGATAACTTTAGGATAAGTCTGGATCTTCTTGACACTAGAATGTTCACAGGAGGTGGTATCAGGCAGCTCCTATGGGGATTGGTCGTATTCTGCCCGGCGTCGCAGCGTTGAATGGTAGAATCTACGTGGTGGGAGGAGAACAAGAATCTCAGATACTTGCCAACGGAGAAGTCTACGACCCTTCGGAAGACTCGTGGACGCCAGTCGCTAGCATGGTTAGTTGTAGTGTTATTTTCTTACACCCCTATATCAGTGAGGTTAATTATTCCTAAAGCTTAGTCAAAATTGGTCTGGGCCATCTGTATGTTCTCAGGTAACACTGAACTCTTTTCAAGGATGTCTATAGATCCCGGATATCCCTGATCTCCCAGATAAGTTTATTTCACTTTGTTTAGGATGTACCAGAGTATCCATAAAAGGTTTATTTTTGTAACTTACTATAATTTTGACCATGAAAGTAGGCCTGATTATTTTGTATATTCAAAGACACTGTTCTGTTACTAGGTGGTGCCCAGATGTGAGTTTGGTCTGTGCGCTCTCGGAGGGGAACTTTACGCAGTCGGAGGTTGGGTCGGCGAGGATATCGGTGGTTCAATCGAAAGGTTAGTAAACAATTAGAATTAGATATTAATTTAAAATTTTACATAACTTATTTAACTATATGAATATTCAGGTGTGTTTTTGGGAAGACGAGCGATCAGAAGACAGGTTAGATACAAAATCTTACTTATCTTTTAATAAAATGAATATATGTTTTATTACCTAGCGCTTAGATTTTTGTTATCTTATCGGTTGTTGACCAAAACTGACATTTTCTGTCCTTTTCTCAATTTTAGTTTTTTTGCTTAACACCAGTAACAAATAACGACCCATCCCTATCAACCTTCATAGTATGATAAACGATAAGAGAAAATTTAAATAGTAGTAAATTCTATCTGCTAGGCTTATTAAAATTACAGTAAATATATATAGCTACAGCTAATCCAACAGATGTCCATTTTAATATGAAATGAAAAAATAACTTTGATACATATGATATAAAAAGCCATTGGTATTTCTTCTGATTGTTCCAGTGAAACTGTTTGACTGATGTTCCGTTGTTGTGTAGGTATGATCCATCATTGGACGAGTGGATGCTGCACGGTGAACTGCCCGAACCTAGATTCAGCATGGGAGTCGTCTCTTACGAAGGTTGGTAGAATTGAATACTGAAAGAGAACTAATATGATTGGTGGTTTTCTTTTAAGTTTCACGTTTTTCACAGCACAAAATTATTATTGAATTTCTCTTAGTTTACAAATTAATTGCTTTATGTAATGAAAAAAAAAACTGAAGTAGTTGTAAAAGGGAAATAGTAAATTTAACATTTAATATATTTTTCTTCTTCCAGGACTGATATATATTGTAGGAGGCTGTACGCACAGTAGAAGACATTTACAAGTAAGTGAACATCTAAGGCTAGACTTAATTTTTTTTTTTTAACTCATCTACCCAAAAAAACTTACAATTAAAGAAGAAATTGACAAAATGTAGGTTTTGTTCAATGTGAGAGCTTTAGAAGGTTAACCTTGTACTTACTTACTGCTATGGCCACTTGTACCCAAGCAGGTACTTGGCTTCGCCAACTCGTTGTCGCCAGTTCTCTCGGTCCTCTGAATCTTCCTCTACTAGTCTCATCTCTTCCATATCCTCCGGACTTGTTCCCACCACCTAGCACTAGGTTAACCTCAATGCTGATTATAGATGGAATTTAGAAAAAGGTTTGAAACTATTCTATAATCTATTTCTCTTCTGGTAGCTTTATAGTATAACTAGCTGTACCCGCGGGCTTTGCCCCGTTTAACTTCATAAGTGAGCTCGTCCCCATGGCTCAATCACGTTCTACTTGAAGTTTGTTCGCTACGCTCACTCACTTTTAGGTTGGAGCTCGTTCGCTGCGCTCACTTGCCTTCAGGTTAGCTCGTTCGCTACGCTAACTCGCCTCCAGGTTGAAGTTCGTTCGCTACGCTCACTCACCTTTTGGTTGCAAATTAGCTGTTGTCATAAATGTAAAAGAAATAATAGTGCTGCACCCTGTTGGTAATCCTTGTAACTTAAATGCTATTGAACATCATAGAACAGAACCAACTTGTTTAATTGAAACAGCTGTTAAGATTCATTAATTCAATTTAAATATGACTACTCAGAAGGTTAACATGGGAAACTCCAGAGCCACTGGGGCGGAGCCCGAGAGTCCGATCAGAATAAAAACAGCTTAGTTTTCCTATTTAATGCCTAACGAATCAGTGTACCAAATTTCAGCCTCCTAGGTAAATAGGAAGTGGGAGAATTAGTGATGAGTGAGTGAGTGAGTCAGTCAGTCAGTGAGGGCTTTGCCTTTTATATATTTAGATTACGGCAAAAGGCCAAGAAGAAGTTGTTCACAGTACAAACATGATAGTAACAAGGTTTGGCAAGCATCGCACAGGATTTCATACGAGTACCATAAACTCATATTTTTCGGACTAGTAACACAACATACTATTCTAGTCTACAAAGAGTATGGTGACCAGCTGATTACTTTGCGGTTTGATAAAGTCTAAATTATCTTTCATGTTCCAGGACCTGTTGTGTTTCAACGTAGTGACGGGAGAGTGGCAGAATCTCGCGCCGATGTTAGTCCCCAGATCTCAGATGGGGGTGGCTGTGTTAGATGGATATCTTTACGTCGTCGGAGGAACCAACAAACAGAACGAAGTGTTGCACAGTGTGGAACGATATTCGTTTGAACAGGTCTGTTTGCCGATTGTTGTCGTTGGCTTCGCCGATTGATTGATTATATTTGTGAACCCGGTGCAAGTTGAGTATAGTTTAAACTTTCTCCATGTTTGCGTCCAATTAAATCAGCTGATATTAATAGGTTCTATTGGATTGATAATATTACTTTAATTCACAAGAGATTTCTTGTATCTGGTTTTGGCTTGAGTGTATCTTTTCTTCATAACATCGAATGTTATACACTACAATTCAGTACCCATTTAGATAGAATGACTTATTTTGAGTTACAGCAAATGTTATGAGCTATGACCAACAACTTGGTCAGCAAAAAAAAATAAGGTAGAAAATATAATTTTAGACACTAGCCCATTTTGTGACTGGCTCACACAAGACACTACCATGTTTTTTTTTACTAAGAAATAGGTGACATCTAGTCCGTATAAATGGGATGTCTCCTTCTGTATCCAATAGCCAATGCCTATAGCCAATGTTTACTGTTCTAGGACAAGTGGTGTGAGGTTGCTCCAATGAAGGTCGGCCGAGCAAGCCCTGCCGTGGCGGCTGCGGATAGTCTACTCTACGTTATTGGAGGTAACTAACGCCACTGTGGAGATTTTTTTACATAAGAGTAGTCATAGAGGAAACATCCAATGTTACACTGAAATGGTGTCTAGAACTAGTTGCTGGTGTCTAGGGCAAAGAGGTTAAATGTACCTTGTATGCCTTAGCCGGCCCGAGGTTTGCACGTGGTGCGGTATGGATCCGTTAGACAATCCCGCCCCTCCTCCCTTCCTTGTGTGGGGTTTTTCCTCTTTCTTGCACCCCCTAACAAACCTAATACCTGTTACGCCCCTGGGCTCGGGCCCATTTACCAAAGCGATCCTGCGTCTTAAGGTCTTTTGGATTGTTCAGAGGATTACTAATTTCCGGTTGAGCGACTCATTGTCAAATCTGACATCCAATTAAAGTGTGTATATCCAATAAACGTCTTCGTTTATACACTGTCTCCCCATCCCTATTGACAAATAAATACATATCTTGCATTGGTTCTCCAGGTGACCAGACTCACGAGGTGAACTTCTACCGAGCTCAGATCACAATCGCGGACGTTGAATGCTACGATCCCCTCTCAAACAGCTGGACGGACTGTCCGCCCCTACCGGAGAGTCGAAGCGAGGCCGGAGCAGTTGTTATTTGATAGGCTAACACCAAAAAACTTTGCAGACTGAGTGTACATAGGTGCGAATGAGAGTGTGTTAATTTATTGTCGTTGAGGGGAAGCCAAAGATTATGTAAATGTTATGCTTTGTTGTCTTTTGTTAAAATACTCAAATTTTAAAAGACATGCCTATAAAAAAGTATGACATCGTCACTTTAGCTTCTAAATTCTTAGGGATCACAACGTCGATATGCCAAATTTATCTCACGGTTAAGTTGTGGTTTAGAATGAAATAAGCTTAATTTAGTCATGCTACCGCCAGATTGTGCTGATGTAGGGTACCTACTGATTTCTTCCTTTTACATCGACTCAAATGATAATAGTTTTGCAAACAATAGCTTTTTCACATCATTGTATCGAGAAACTAAAGCACAAAATATAACTCTGTAAGTAGTACACTCTACGAGGCACTTATTCAAATAGGCCTATGTTGTTGGATAAAAAACTGGTTATAAATTTTCTACCTCATTTTTTGTTGCTGAGATATAGGATGTGACATGAAAGATTATATAGCTTTAGAATAAGTTATCCTACTAGTTTGACTTGGTTTAAAAATCTGCATGCGACAGAAATAAGTATTTTACTTCAGCACAATCTGTTGGTGATTCACTTCAACTTTTATTTTTATATTGATGACAACCTTCATCAAGATGGAGTGCCTAGTTGTATTGATAGTCAAAGGTTACACTCTTTTATAACTGCTTACTGTCAGTTGTAACCAAGATGTGCTAGACAAATGTCATCCAGTTCAGTCATGTGTTAGACAAACTTAAAACAAACGTGTAAGTATCCAATCATATCATAGCATTTTAAAGTAAACCGCAAGTCTATTGGTATGATGGGAATTCTTTCTTGGGTTGAAAACGGTATTACAATTTGCACATGTAATGAGGACCTCGGCTTCTAGTTAGCCGTGCTTTTGTTATACGTTTATTTGTGTAACTTATTTTTAAACCTTGTCTTTGACACAGGAAAACGTCGTAAACAGTATAGGCTGTTTAGTCTAATGCAAAACTGATAGAAGTTTTGTAAATTCCCTCTCTATCGAATAAACTGAGATTGCAATTGGCAGTAAGCAGTTTTAGTAGGTATATTTGCCAGCAGTCTGCAATTTTCTCTAGATTTAAACAAATTCTTCATACATGAGCTCAAAACACGATCGTTCCAAAAATTGCTAGTGTATTACAAAATGAATGATATTACAGTACATGTTATTTCTGTGTTAATATGATCTTTAGTCCTTAAAATTTCTAAAACACCATTCATACTTAAATTAAAGGTATTTAGTTGTACTTGTCCTATTGAATAATTTATTTACAAACAAAAACTGAAGAATGGTGTGTTAACAATTTAACTTTTTTGTTACAAAAATAATTTAAAAAGTAATAAAATCTATTTACTGCACACTATCAATTCTACCATTATCATTATCATTAATCTGTATTGATCTTTTATCCAGAATGGTTTAAGACCAAAATATTAATACATATTTTATCTGTCTGACGATTTCCGTCCAATTCTGAATAAAATAAAGCTACGTAAATGATTGGTTAATGAAGAAACATGTTTTAAATTTTCTGTTGTAATACTTGAAATATTTTTTTTCTTTGGGAACACAAACTTAACCCAAATAACTTCTAGATTATTGGTAAGAAATTAATTTTCTTCAAACAAATTACAAACATTTATCACCCAGTTTCAAAGTTATCCAGTTAACAGTTTAATATAGTTTGTTGTACCAATTAATTAACTTTGTAATTTTAGACCACAGCTAATTTTATCACAAACATCGTATGTACAATCATCACTAAACTTTGTCAATTCATAATATTTTGTGGACGTAACTTTGTAAAATAGACTCAATAATCAGGAAACATTTGCATGATATCAGTTAATATTTCTATTTGTAATTGTAAAACATGGTTTGAATTCTATTTTTGGTGACTACTTTATTATAACATTTTCAAATACTATTTCAACGTCACATCCAGCAATATAGAACAATATTTCTGTCCTAGCTTTTAAGTCTTAATTTTTTACATTTAATTATTACTGGTTGATTATTCTTAGATTTTGTATATTTTGTTGATTGTGATATATATTATATAATACCGTATGTATTTTATAGGCCAGTGAATTTATAACTTGTTTATATAAGGAAATTTCGCAGTATTAAATGGTTGATAAAAGTTTAAAAGATGCCACTAAATAAATATTTGCTGTAATTTTCTAGTAAAACTGCCAAAAAAGTTGTATTCTCAAATCCAGCAAAAGATTATTAAATTCCTATGCGTGAGAGATTATAAAATGCTAAAAATTATAATTAAAAGTCTTGTCTGACACAATTCAGTTTAACAATCAAATTTCTTTTAATTTGGAATCTTACTATTTTGAAGAATCTCAGGTTTTTTTACATTGAGCTTATAAAAAATACTCAGATTGTTAATTGTTTATGTACTGTGAAAAAGGGTTGAGAAAAAAAGGATTTGTGTTGTTACTGTTATTTACAATTCAAATGCACAGCGCTTTGTAAAAGATTTAAAATATAAAAAAGCATACAGTACACAGCAGTTTTTTCTAAGAGGGTCAAAAATTAAAAAAAATTACTCTGCTACTAAAAACAGCTCTAAAAAAAATATTTTCCTTCGTGAACAGTTAGTAAAAAATCCACAACGCTTTATAATGGTATAGAAACAGAATATAAATTCTTCTACAAAAATGTGTTTATTTTTGTTTTTTAACAACTAATAACACGCACAGAGCTTTGTAAAATCATTAGATAGGAAAAAATTTTAAAACCTTGATTAGCGTAAATTGTCTAGCCAATGCTTCCTGGATCAGCCTTGCAGTAAATTTAATAAAATCTTGTCACATTTAACTGTACTTTGACAGAAATTCTATTGCACAATTTGACTTTAAATATTTGGACAAAATCACTCTTTATCGAAGTGATTGTAAGTTTAACACGTTCGCTACCGAGCGACGCACATTTGCGTCGGTCTGGTCACTCTTACATACCAAAAGGAATGATCATGACGTTGCTTACAGACCAAGTGATATAGGAATAACATTGCCGACAGACCAAAAGAGAAATATCGTTTAAATGGACTAATTGACTTCATAATAACCTTAAGTGAATTAGTAAGCAATAAATATTGTTTTTATTTTTCGTTATGAGCGAATTTTAAAACGCCGCATATATGCGTCGGTCAGTCTATTTAACGAAATCCAGTTAAAAAGATTACATTTTCGTTTCAATAGACCAGGCGACGCACGTACGCGTCGTTGTAAATTTGGTTGTTTCAAGCTTTTACATAAACAACTAAAGAAACTCCACTAAACACTAGCCAAAACTGCAAAGGTTATAACGTTTACATCTGTTCTGTGATGTCGCGGAATACACAATGTAAACAATGTAAACAACAATGTTGCCAACTGTTGTGTGACGTAACCAATCGTCATATCCACGGACCAAGCGACGCACATTTGCGGCAGATATCCCTCTAGACCGATATGATAAAATCCGGGCTCTAAAATAGACCGTTGCTAAGAAATACGCTGTTTAATAACATTAGAATACCGACGCAAATGTGCGTCGTTAGTCCATTTCAATGTGACCAGCTGACGCAAATATGCGTCGGTGGTCTATTGTGAGAAACGAGTCGACGCACAATTGCGTCGCTGGTCTATGCGAACGTAAATTCCATATAATTGTGGTAGCGAACGTGTTAACTGTAAAAAACATTCTGAATGTTTGTTTTGCCTTAAGATTTGTTATTTGACGGCTAACTTTCTGTTGAAATGATTAGTTCATTACACAATGCTTTACAGGTGCTCCTTTATAACTATTGTAAATCATTTGTGTAAATGTGTTATTAAAACATTGTACAAGCTGTTTGAATTTTTCTCTACATGTTCTCCATTATTTGCTCAAAGAATGTCAAATCTATGTTCCAGCTGTATGGCGTATTTCATCATATACTTTACCAAAGGCTTCCCTCAACTTTGCTATAAGTTCATCTACGAGATCGGACAGCGATACACTTGATCTTTTACGAATCCCGAGACAAAAAACCACACCACAGATTTTGTCTCCATTAACAATTCAGTACACAGTGCTTAACTCAACTACAACTCCATATTGCATCTGTATGTTTTAAAATTCAAACATGTCAGCAACAATGGAACAGCTGTTTACTGTTTAGCAATACTAATCAAAACTGAAAGATGCCAGCTTTAAAATTAGTCATAATTGACTTTTCTACAACCTTTGGTAACAAGTATATTAAGCTGTAGATTTGATCCACACTTTTTGGGGCACGGTTTTAATTTGATATTTATTATGTGTGATCTCAAATGTTTGTCCTGTAAAATGTTTCAATCTTGAAAATAAAAATTCAGAGATATATTTACGACACCGTCACTTTGGGTTGCGTTTTTTAAGCGAAGATGAGTGTTGACTTCCCTCAAACCACAAAAATGTTGTGAATGAAGTGTAGTTTTTAGGTTATTTTTATATCGTAAATCTTGACAATTTTTGTCGTGTTACCCAGCTTTGCTTGCTTAATGCAAATGTTTATTCAAAATAAACCTAAATTGACTATTGACTAAAAAAACACACATTAAGTAAAATACACTACTTACTAAAATCACAAGGAAACATATTTATCACAATTTTAGTTTTATTTACACAATTGGAAGTATATTTACACCGTGTTTAGATGAAGTGCATTGTGAATTTTGAAATCAATAGCGAATTGTGCAGTTCAATGTGAACGTTTTGCATTTGATTGAATGTTACCAATAATGAATCGTTACGGCTTTGAGAGAAGTTCGACTTTAGTGAACGGCTCGAGAACAGGATGTTTTATCCAGTCTGTCTGTTCCAACATTCTGAAAAAATAGAAAGTTATCCATTGAACTAGGTTAAATCACAGAAAACATACTACTATAACCCAGAATGCCAACCGCATGGTAAAAAGCATTAAGTGTTTTGAGAGAGCTTTGCCTGTCAATCGTAGGCAGCGCCACCAGCGTTGCTATGCTGAGTGCATGGCAACGCTGGTGGCGCTGCCTACGATTGACGGGCAAAGCTCTCTCAAAACACTTAATGCTTTTTACCACGCGGTTGGCATTCTGGGTTATAGTAATATGTTTTCTGTGGTTAAATGTAGAAAAATTATCATAATTGCTTATTGATGATTATTTTTTTATGAAAGAGCTGGTCTGCAGACAAAACATATATTAAGCAACCATTTTCAGATCAAACATGAAACATTTAACCTTTCTTTAGTTAGTTATTTCAGGGACGCTGCATGTACCTACTTCGGGATTGAATATTGATAATGAGTACCGGTAGTGCTAACATCAATCAATTGGGGAGCAAGCTGGTCTAGTGATAAAGTGTGAGGCTTCGGTCTATGAGTTTCCTGGTTCAAATCCAACCAATCACTAATGGATTATACGCCAATACCTCCTAGGCCTAGCCTCGTAATGTGTAAAACAATTGGCTAGAGATAATCGTCCTCTGGAATGTGAAGGTAAGCCATCAAAATAAGAAAAAATCCAGACCTAATAAATTATTACATACCGGTATAGATTGAGAGGCATGTAGGCAAATACTTTCAAGAAGAGTTCCTTGACTTCCGACAAATTGTCAATATTTTCTTTGAGGAACTTCAACAAACCGCTTGGAGTGTCAGCAAACTGATTGCAGCCGGTCTTCAGTTCGACGTATTGCTGCAGCACCGTGATCTGTGGACACATTGGAAACAAAAACAACACATTAAACTATAGTAAGTTACTAATCAGAATCCTAAATTCTTGTCTTATGTTTGTTTTTTAAGTAGTCCATTGCTTCTGTTGTAGTCAACTTTGTGTGAAGTGTTGTAATATTTAGCGATTGTTTAACAATATAACTAGGATTCATCTTATAAATTCTTGCTCACTGATTTATTTTCAATTTTCAGTTACCGGTGCTGTGTATATTTATTGTGATTGGACGATTGATCATAAGAGCTGCTGGATCTTTGGTGAAGCGTCGCAAAAACCTCCTGGACATTCTAAGAAGAGAAGGAAAGACTAAATGTAAAAAGATATAATCATGAAGAGAGTTTGCGAAGAATATTCAGAGGACCAGAAGACGTTGAGGACGATTTTTGGTGAGGCCAAATACCGCCTTGATTATCTGGTAATAAAAGTGAGTAATCTCTTGACAATATAATATTTAGCCTATTTAATATCCTTTCGATCTTTAAAGATTGAATAATTCTCTTATCTTATTTGGTTATTAATTTTGTTTTTAGAAGTATAGCTGTGTTTTGAGGTATTTTAATCATTATTTTGTGTTCTGATACATTTTTTCGGTCTCGTTCAACAAGAATTTGTAACAAATCTTGTCTATCTGATTTTTTCTAACAATCACCACTTTCAATATGACAAATATTCTACAAGCATGTTGTATTTATTGGGTTACATTTTAAATAGCCCTCTTTACCATTTGTTGTTTGGTGAACTTATTAGTCATATCTTTTGTATACAAACTAAACTACAAGATTCACCCACCCATTTACTGTGAATGTCCCGCAGTTCGCTGAGTATGTCTAAATCCTTGTGCATCTGGACGATATCGAAAGTGGAAGAATCACTCTCTTTTCCACAGCAAGTCCGTAGAAAATTCCACCGCTTGTTGGTGTCCCAGAAGAACACATGTCTGTGAAAAATATTAAATGCAGTTACAACTTATCAAAGATACCAGGATAATAATAAAACATTAAAAAGAAATTAGGAGAAACAGGAATTCAAAAGGAATAGCAGGTCTGGCTTAGGTGTGAGACGGGCAGGATAAATCTTAGGTATATCCATAAAAATTGTATGTTTTTGCCGTTTGGATCACTTTACCAAAGCCTTTACCTTCTTTGAAAACGGCATTGTTGGACCCACTAAAGGGTGAGCCCTAATTGATGCCCGAATCTAAACTGAATGGGATATTTACCTGAGCACATCCGTTGTCGATGGTCTCTTGTACGCTTCCGAACACAACATCCAGCAAACAAGGTCCGAAGTGACAACGTCCTCAGTTCGAATTTGGATCACGTTGTTTCTCATGTTGTCCATGATGTCTTTCACGGTACAGCCGTAAGGGTGGATCCCCACCGTCATGATGAAATGAAGAAGCATTCCAGCTGTCTGTATGTCTGAAAGCTCCGTGCAAATGTACTGAAAACACACATCGGTTAAGTGAATCAAAGGGTGAAAACCGTTGATAACCGCAATGTTATATGTGGAATAGGGCCCAAGATACTAACAATTTCAATATTAAAAGTTAAATCAAGCATAAAATCCGAGGTTGAGAATGAAGGTAAATGTTTAACATTAAATACTAATTGAAAGAACTCTTTCAGTGTGATAAAAATTGGATGTAGCTCTCAGTTACTGATGACATTGGCTAGCTACCCACTGGTCATGTCATGTCTACGACATCATTTGTCCAAGGCATGTCACTATGTTGTCAAGTCACATCTTAATCTTACACACTGGTTGCGACTTGGGACACACGTCCCGAGACATATCTGTCTATTGACCATGGATAAAAAGAAATATAGACTACTAGCTGTAACCCGCGGGCTTTGCCCCGTTTAACTTCTTAATTTTCAAGATGATCTCGTTCGCATGGCTCAATCACGTCCTGGTTGAAGTTTGTTCGCTACGCTCACTCACCTTTAGGTTGGAGCTCGTTCGCTGCGCTCACTTGCCTTCAGGTTAGCTCGTTCGCTACGCTAACTCGCCTCCAGGTTGAAGATCGTTCGCTACGCTCACTCACCTTTTGGTGGCAAATTAGCTGTTGTCATAAATTTAAAAAAGAAATAGTGCTGCGACCCTGTTGGTAATCCTTGTAACTTTAATGCTATTGAACATCATAGAACAGAACCAACTTGTTTAATTGAAACAGCTGTTAAGATTCATTAATTCCATTTCTCATAAGGTTAACATGGGAAACTCCAGAGCCACTGGGGCGGAGCCCAGAAGTCGGAGGGTAAAATCCTTTCTTAGTGAGCGTCTACTACCCAAAAGGAAGACGCCTGCCAAGTTTCAGGTTCCTAGGTTTTATGGTTTCTGAGATTTCTTGATTAGTGAGTGAATGAATGAATGGGTCAGTGGTATTTGAGCTTTATATATATAGATCAACCGTGCTGCAGTTACCATGGTTACCATAGGTTCTGGTGCACACCGCTGGGAGCGCTGTGTAGTACGTAGTACGTACGTTGTAACTACATGGCGCTCCCAGCGGTGTGCGCCAGAACCTATGGTAACCGCAGCACGGCTGGTGGTCTATTTAATTCTTTTTGTCTATGATCGTACTTATGTCACACGAAACCGGTTGGTTGGTTTGGCTCTCATCCCTCTAATAACGATCTAATTCAGCCATCTACATAACACATGTTTTAAGTGGTTAGTTTAATTCAGAAATATTCTTGAAACTTTCGATTGCTTGTTTAGTTGTTGGATCTTTACATACTGGCTTAATAACTCCGCGTTTGCGTTAGGTGATCCGTCAAACATATTTCAAATCCTGCAATGTTGGCAAACAGCAGTTGATTGTTTTCTAAACACATTCCTTACCTTCCATGTAGTGAAGTAGATGGTTTGGCATTCTCTGGCCCACCAGATCTGAGAGGAGAAATTTGGGCTGCATTGTTGAAACAGAACCTGTAAACAAGTTTATGTTTTGATTTCCTTTATCATGATTTATACAGGGTGTTTTTTTTAAAACTTGCATCTTTATTTATGTAAAAACCGCAATAGATAGAAATATGCAGTTTGCAGGAATCATCTATTGACGTAGGGGGACCAATTGTTTTGAATTCAACGTTACATTCACATTCCCCCCCTTTCCCCCCCTGCCCCCAACTTAATTTTTTTAAATAGCAAGGTACCTCTTGTGACATATCAAATAAAAGAGCATGAAAAAAGAAAATGTTTGATGAAAAAAAATTGAAAATCGGTTCATTAATTTGTGAGATATTCCCCCCCTTACCCCCCCGGAACTTAATTTTTTTTAATAGCAAAGTACCCCTTGTGACATATCAAATGAAAGAGCATAAAAAAAGAAAAATTTTGGTGAAATTTATTTTTCATTTGATATGTCACAAGGGCGGGTACCTTGCTATTAAAAAAACAAGTTATGGGTAGGGGAAAAGGGGGGTGATTATCTCACAAATTCATGAGCCGATTTTAAATTTTTTTTCACACAAAATTTTATTTTTTCATGCTCTTTCATTTGATATGTCACAAGGGGTACTTTGCTATTAAAAAAAAAAATAAGTTCCGGGGGGGTGAGGGGGGGAATATCTCACAAATTTATGAACCGATTTTCAATTTTTTTTCATCAAACATTTTCTTTTTTTATGCTCTTTTATTTGATATGTCACAAGGGGTACCTTGCTATTTAAAAAAAATAAGTTGGGGGCAGGGGGGAAAGGGGGGGAATGTGAATGTAACGTTGAATTCAAAACAATTGGTCCCCCTACGTCAATAGATGATTCCCGCAAACTGCATATTTCTATCTATTGCGGTTTTTACATAAATGAAGATGCAAGTTTTTAAAAAAACACCCTGTATATGTACAATACTGGCCAATGATTTTTCAGCTGTAGCTATCACATCTTTCTGAACTTGGTGTTGCTTGTCTTAATATCTTCATAAAATCAGCTGTGTTTTTAGTAATTATAGTAAAATAAAAAATTAAAACGGATATTGGTTTAAAACAAATAATTTGTAATGACAATTGTTTTCAATTATTTAATTACTAGGCCTACCTTGAACATTATACAAAGTTTCGTAGGGATATTTTTAATAGTGTAATTTAAAATTTTGTTATATAAAGTGCAAAATGGCGATTATTTTTGATTTCTGCTCTTTATACTCGTAAAACAATTTAATAGAGTTTTGTACTACTTTTGGAGCATCCTGTATTTCAAAGCTTTCAAATTTATGCAGTACCTGTTGGAGTCCAAACTCTGCCAATCTTATCGTTCCGTTGGCATCCACCATGATGTTGGAGGGCTTTAAGTTTCCGTGGACAATGTTCTTGGTGTGAAGATAGTGAAGACCTTCCATCAACTGAAAAAAATGTACTGATAAACCTGATGACGACTCTCAAGGTTTTATAACCAGGTTAAATAGGCACCAAAAGTTTAGACAGTATTGACCTTTTGTACATAAAATTCCTTTTAAAGACAACAATAAACAATTGGAACATACCTGACATGACAGAAGGACGAGGTAAGGATTGATCGTTTGTGCGGAGTTTGTGTGTTGCGTCAACACCGATCTGATCTGGATCAAATACTGCCCCAGGTCCTAATGGGGATTAGAAACAAAACATATACAAGGTTTTCATAATGTGATGGAGGTTATTATAATGTGAAAATTCACAACAGCTGTACATTTTGAGTATACTGTGGTACACAAAATGCCTTTTCTTGCTTTGTTTAGTAAACACATAGGTCACCATGAGCGTCTATCTAACTTTTCCATTTGGGGGACAGCAGGGTCTGGGAGGTACGGAATACCAGTAAAGAGGGAGGTCTAGGGGGGTTCTTCGGGAAATAGTTAAAATTTAGGTACACAATGATTGATTTTACTACCCATATTGATGGACGCCCATACATGTCATAGTTTTAAATAGCCTAGACTAAACAACCACTTTAAAACAAACTTATAAACTTAGCCAAACCTAATCAAAGCAAACAAAAAAAACCTTTTTATTTTTTGTTCGCTATGTGGATAGATAGTTTTACGATTTCCGCTATGTTGTTTACAACTGACAACGATATCACCTGTCGACAGAGAGGCACCAACGTGATGACCGCAGTAGGAGTGTCGTAAACTCCGAGGTACGGCAGAATGTAAACATGGTCTAGACGAAGCAGCGATTTGACACATTCACAAAGCTTCTCGCTCACTGACTTGTTGCCGAGTTTCAGGAATCTGCGCGCAGCTATAGGCATTCCTGAAATGCAATGATTGTGTGAAAATACAGTCTGTGAAAAGACCGAGAGAGTCAGAAAAGAATACATTTGGACTCAAAATCTCTAGGGCTGAGATACAGTACCCACATCAAGCTGGCATGGTTGACGTTCTAAGCTTTAGTACCTTGAATGAGTTGCTTTAGCTACGACATGGAGTTCTGGCATGGAAAATCGATCTAAATTTACTGAATACATTATTTACAAGTAAACAGACAGCGTACCTGTTACACTCAGTCCAAGCTCCACGTTGCCCAAGTTGAAGCCGGTGAAGAGTTTAAACTCCTGAGAACAGTCGTACGAAGAAATCCTGACATTCCCTCCGTCGAGAAACTCAGTCTTGCAATCAGGAAGAGAAATGAGTCTAAGACACTGGGACTCGTACTTCTGGCCACAGTACTTTAGTAAACTGGTAAAACATTTGGGGATAACAATTTGATCACAGTGTCTTGCATAATAAATTAGTTTCTTTCCCTTACTCTTAATCTAAAAAAATTGTAATACAGTAACGGCATCTTCAAACACCTACCGAAGATAGTTCAAGAAAAAAACTGGTCCATATTTACTCACATTGATTTATCAAGTAACATGAAAATACCTGAAATGATCTCTTTAGAATCAAAGATGCTAACCGCTAACCCCATTAAACTTTGTTTACTATTTAGACTTGACTCATCAAGGGAGTCATCAAATAACAATCATTACCTATGTGATTCCTCTGTTCCCAATTTCACCCTCCAACAGTTACATCCATTTCTCAAATATAAAAAATGAAATCACCAACGCCTTGTAATGATTAGGGACACATTCATTTATAAACTCATCTTTTGATCAGTACCTTGTACATTGAAAGTAATTTTTGTGGCAGTACACACAGCGGAAAGCATTGACTTTGGATTTTAAACTAACATTGTTTTACCTGGCTAGTTTTTCAAGGCAGACACCAAGCTGGTCAGATTTTTCAAAACCGGGTGGAGTCTTTTCTTCAGAGTCTGGTTGAATGTCTTCAGGCTTCTTTTTTTGGAGAACAATGTCTTCTGAATCTATCTTTGCGCTCTCTTCTTCCTTAGAATCCTCGAGGGCAATGGATTCGATTGTTTCCAACGAATCTTTATTACTAACGTTACATACTTGTGATGTTTCACAAATGTCATTATCTTTGGATGTTTCCAAGTTAATTTTAATTAAAGAACTTTCTACTTTGTCATCATTGGTGTTTTCCGTACATACTGGAATTTCGGTGACCATCTCTTCTTTCTCTTCTTCTACTTTAACATTAATTTTCTTATCCTTCACCTCCTTTGTGCAGACTATTTCTTTGTCTAGCTCTGTTTTACCTTCTCCATCAATCACCTTATCCGTCTCAGGTTGTTTGTCTACTTTATCTTCGGTCTTTGTTTCCCAAACACTGACTCCATCGCTCTCTTCGTCACTGTCTGATATGTAAATACTATCAACAAAGTGGACAGTTTTGTTTTCATTTGACTTTACATCCTGTGTTACTTGTGCACTGGTGTCCTTTTTAAGTTCCAAATCAACTTGAACTTTAGTGTTTTTATTTAACAATGACTCCACTGGTTTTCCGTTTGATAGGATATTTAAATCTTCGGAATCTTTATTCCGTAGAATAAATTCAGTATCAAGATCGTTTTCCAAACTGGATTCATCGTCTTCCAAGACTTTAACTCCCCTTTTGTCAAGTTCATCTTCAAATTCTAACAAAAACAGTTGCATTTCAGACACCAGAGCTGCATACACAACGTGGTTTTTCCTAGCGTTATTTTTTATCTGTTTCATGAAGCCGTCCCACTTGCTCATCAGCTTCTTCATGTGGTAGGTCTCCAAAGCAGGCAATACAGACATAAGTTTTGTCAAATCGTTCGAGTCTCCTTGAGCCCCTAAATAACCTTCCATGTATTGTTTCGTCCACGTAGAATCGTATCGTTGCAAAATCCTATTGAATATCTCCTCCAGGTACTGCAAAGTGCTTGTTACCTCCACATCTGATACTTCTTTACCCTCATCTTTCTCAGTGTACGCTTCTATCCAATCACAAGTGTTTGCCATTCTTTCTTCGTCCGACACTACCATCGGCTCGTCCAGTTGAAACAGCTGATAACCTTCTGAGAAGCGCTCTTTTGTCGCTAATAACGGAGATTTTTTCATTGGAAACTCCTCATTTGATGGAGAAGTTTTCACAGAATTAACTGATAATGAATCAACTGTTGTTGAACTCTCTGAACACTCTTGTACTTGTGAACTTTCCGACCTCGGTGACACGTATTCCCGTATTTCCTTTATGGCTATTCTAGATTTCTTCACTCTCTTTGTTTTCTTATTGGATGCCTCAGTTGTAGTTTTAACCTCTTCTTTTTTGAAGATAGATATATCCTTTGGTTCCTTAATTGGCTGAGCAGGTGGTTTAGCTTGAGCTAAATCTAGTTTCCCAAAATTGTGCTGTATTATAGAATTGTACAGTGTTTGATTGCAACTTTTCCTTTTCACGCCGACATTAAGTTTCTCCTCTCGACACTCTCTTGTTTGAATTTTAGTAAAATTTGTAGATTTCGGTTTCACCACTGAGTACATCGAGCGGGCCAGTCTGATCTGCCCCTCTCTCGTCTTTTGAGCAGCTTTCCGGTGTTCTTCTTCGGTCACAATACGCTCGTCAGATTTTAATGCCTTCATGAGTCTTTGAAATGACAGTGAGTGCTGTCTCTCGATTTCAGCGTGTGTGTCACCGTACGTGTCTTGGAAAAGTACAGGAAAAGACCTCATGTACTTGTGGTAAAAGGGCTGAAGATGCACATAGTTTCCCTCCAACCACGTTCTGGCTTTGTAGCTTTCGCTGGTGCACAGGTAAAGGAGGGGTTGGAAAACGGATTTGATCATTGTAGTTTTGTCCGCACCATACCTGAAACCAGTTTTAAATATACAAATATATTGGAAAAAGCTCTGCAAAAGTTAGTTTTGTAAATTTGTAAGTGGAAGTTTGGTTTTGTCAGTCTTGCATCCGATACATTGGACATCAGAGCTCAAAGTGGTGAAAAATATTAAATTTTCATCAAAAATCTACTAATAAATTCAAAACCTCAAGTTATCAACGCCTTTTTGAGATTAGGTTTACCCAATATTACATCTTAGGTTTACTCACCTAACCAATAAGTCCAAGAAACACTTCCCCAGGCCGGCAGAGAAGAACGCGTTGGCAAGTTCAGTCTGAGAAAGTCCTTGACAGCAGCAGTCGCAATGGCGAATCAGCTCCAGGACTACCAACAGAACAGCAGCGAGGTACGCAGGGTCGTCTGTATGATGCACGACCGCCTGTGGAAATAAGAGATAATGTACATTGGTCAAATGCTAGATAGGATCAGAGGCTATACTCTACAACCCTTAGAAAAGGAGTTTATTGAAAATCACAGAGATATATTAATACAATTTACAACCTTCAAAGTAAATACTTATCATGAATCAGACTCATTCAATAGTTTACATCTTTCGCCCATTGAAATAACATGTCTGGGTGAAGATAGCCAGGCAAGAAAACTACACACTTATATCACTTTGTGATTAGCATAAGGTGTCCACTAACCCCTCTAAGAAAACGATTAAGTTATCAATATAGGGTCCTGCACAAAAAAGAAGAATAACCAAAGTGGAGATTATTTGACAGTCAATGCACTGGCCAACACTGTAGCAAATTTTATTGATACCCAAAGATAATCTTTGGTGTCCGAGAATATGCGTGAGTGCCACATAAGGCCTTATCCAACTGGGAAGAACTTTATACAAAAATTCTAATATTTGATCTAACCTAGTCACTTTTATAATCTGGATTATCAACTTCTGGACAGTTCAACTAAAGATTACTACTTAGGAACTTTCTAAGAAAGATATATTTTTTAATCACCTCAGGATCACTAACAGGGCCGGATTTACCTTTATGCCGCCTGTAGGCTACAAGTCCTCATGCCGCCCCTTATATATGTATATATTTACTGCTGAAAACATATTTATAGGAAAATTACCCCCGCTCTACCTCGTGGTAATATTTGGTTATTCATGCGCACAGACTAATTTTTGCCGATCTGCACAGTAGCCTACCGCTCGGTAGTCGGCGATCGAAAATACACGTGCAAACATAAAATATAACCTACGAATACTATTACTATATAATCATTCCACTCAATCATACCAATCAACTCCACCTGTATACTATACAAAATAACATGTATCATAAATTTTTGGATTTATAATGTTAATGTTACGTCAAATAAAATACATTTGAGATCATTCTTATATATAAGAAATGTATACATTTCTGTGCTATTGAATATCTTTTAATACTGGAAAATTGTTAAATTAAATTTAGATAGTTCTGCAAGGTGAAATTTAAGTTGACGAAATTATTTGAATCACTGGTTTATTAGTTGAAATATTTACAACGACAAAAAAACTTTGTGTATAGTCCAATACAAGTATTTCATTGAGCGACTAACAAAACTGATAACTAATTTTAATTTATTGTGTACACCAACTGACTGTATGGTAGTGTAAGTGTCAGTGGTGGGGAGGGGGCTGTCGGCTGTCACGTCGGCGTCGTGGCTGCCGCTCCTGGTCGTACTTCCACCAGCTGCAGCCCGCTGAGAGTCGCCAGCTTCCAGTGTTGCCAACACCAGATCGCCGCTCGCTGCGTGTTGGCGCAATGCGATTGTACATATTAGATTGTGTAATAATACGTATGTCGAAATAGAAAATAATAATGTATGAATATTCTAAAAGCTTTATTTAAATGACATGTATACTTGAATTTTTAAGGAAAATAATATTGCATGTAAAAAAAAATTATTTTAATTTTTTAAATCTGCCGCCCCTAAATTTTGCCGCTCTAGGCTGCAGCCTACTTAGCCTATTTAGAAATACGGCCCTGATCACTAAAGTACTACACTAATAACTAGCTTAAATCATTTCTTTAAACCTTGGACAAAAATCTTTTATGTTTTAGGGTAACAGTGTGTATGTTGAAGCTGAAAAACGTTCGGATTGTAAAATATCTTCATGCCACAGTACCTAAAGTCAACCTTTTAAATTCTTATTGATTTTGGAAAGATATTTCATTACCATAATTTTGTTACCTACAGGATACATTCTCTGAAGTTTAATTGTTTTGATTCCTGAATTAACTATTTTACGCCTGCAAAGTAATTTGTGTTTATTGTTGGAACTTACTTCTTGCAATCTTGAAAACACAGAGAGTTCCATGAGAAGATCCATGCCGCTGTAGATGTAACGGGCAAAGAAGATCAAAACATGGACGAGTACACTGGTCACAACCTTGGTGAATTCTGCTCGGTTTTTCGGAGGGTTGACGAGCAATTCCAATCTCCTCTGTAAAAATTTACATATTCAAGTATTGACAACTTAGTGCCTGGATTGAAAATTGGAATAACGTTGTCCGTCATCTCAACATTCAAGTAACTTTTTGTGGTCAGTTGAAAAAAATAGCAGCCTAGAAATATTTAAGCAGTGATCAATTTTACTTGTCGATGTAGTCAATGCCGTCTTAGTATAGTATATCGTTTGAGAGTAGATTGATGAGAAAATTTCAAAATACTTTGTTTTCCTGGAATATATTCCAGAAACGCAGAATCTAACAGATAACTTCCATAAACGCATACCGTAAGCAGTTAGTTTACCAATTCTCTCAATTTTTCACAACTGAAGATTTTTCTCAATGTGCCAAGGATACAATGTAATGATAACATTGTTGTAAATATAAGTACTAAAGAAAAACTAGGTGTAAGAAAGTTATTCATCGTACATCTCATAGTTTACGTTGTAAAACAATTTATTATGATGTGTGTTTTTTTGTAATTAACAATCAAAAACATATGCTAAAAATTGGTAACATAAATCTTGAACATAGTGGATGTCACTGAAATGCAATTTTTTTCAAAATGTGCTTAATGTTATGTCTTTAAACAATAGCCTAACTATCATAGTGCGTACTCTATTCTAAACATTTTTATATTTTTAACTTATTAACCTTAAGATATTGTTCCAGGGTCATTTTGGAATGTCCCTCGTTGACGGCAGCCAAGATTAGTTCAAGTGCTCCGTTGGGCTCCCGCACGTTCTTCTGAAGACTAAAGGCAATGGCGTAACACAGAGCTGTGCACTTTTGCTGAAAAAATACTCATTAGTATAAATTGATTTGTTTAATAGAAAATAAAACTAGAGTTTTTTTTTCTCTGGGACTACAAAATTTCCTGGATACCTTAGTGATTATAGTGTTTTAATCTCCTTTTAATCTGAAGTTCACACATTCGATCCTGAAATAAGTGTTTAGGTTTATGAAAAGCATAAAACGTAGCGAATCATTGTGTTTCAAATCTGTGATATTGGTTGAAGAATCAGCTGTTCTCTAGCTGCAAACTTAACATCAAGCATCACACTCATTATTTCTTAAACATACATACTTATCCTTATATGATGAAATTATTTCTGAAATACTAAAAAAATATCCTGATCTTGGCATCGATTAGGCCTCAACATAATTTCCTATCCCTCCATCGTTTTCCACCATCTTTAAACACACATTTTTCCTCCACACCCCTCTTTATTTCATCCATCCACCTTCTTTGAAATTCCTCTTTGTTTTCTTTCCCTCTATGGCCTCTATTAACTCTTTAACACTAAGAACTCTCTCCTCTCACATAGCTAGATCATATTGTTTTTAATTTATTCATGTTACGAATGTATACGAATTGTTATACAAATGTAATTACTTTAACGTTCTGTTTTTGATAATGACTACGTAGTAGTCGAAACTATAGTCAACAGACACCGACTAAGGAATTGTGGACGTCAAGGTACGTAACCTGTTATAATTGTTTTTAACTGTCTCGAGCTGCAGTAGACTCCCTCTTATTCGGACTCCTCGGGACCGAGGCCAGTCCGGTTAACGGGTTTTCCGGTTAAACCAACATCCCCAAAAACTTGTTAAAACGGACCTTTGAATGCATAATGTATACAGTATTTGACTTAAATTTAGGAGAGCATTGTATTCAGACACGTGATCACTGGTCTCAAATCCATCCCACGAGAACAGTCGTTTCAGTACCGCCCACTTCCTGCCGATCTAATCCGGTTAAACCGATACGCTGATAAAAATTTTCCGGTTAAAGAGATGTCATTTCCGCCGAGTATTAGTCTGGTTAAACCGATGTCCGGTTAAAAAATGTCCGGATAAGAGGGAGTCTACTGTATTCTAATCTCTTCAAGCTAACTTTCTACGTTGCATTCCTTTTTATCTGTGTCAACAGCCAATGACCTTTAAATGCTGGAATATCAATACCTCAACTGTAGCCAATTTCTTATTAAAATGTGTAATGATCAAAGACAGCTGGGTCCAGTTTCGAACCATCAAAAGCGGAGGGCCACTGATATTTCTCAGGATTGAACCAGTGACTTGACTACCTTGCAAGTTCTATAACTTACCTGGTCCTCCAGCGTGAAGTCAGCCCCCGCGTTCAGCAACGCCTTGACAGCGTAAGTGTCGCCTCGTGACGCTGCCAGTATCAGAGGAGTAACGCCTTTGTTTGTCTTGCAGTCCAGATCAATTGATATACCGATCAGCTGTTCCAACATTCCCTTCCACTGTCGTCTGGTGATGTAGTGTATGAGGCGGTAGCCAGCCTTGGAACATAAATATAAATGAGTGTTTTGTCATTCGAAAAACAATATTGTACAGAGGTATGTGTTCTATAATGTTTAGCGTTAATAGATTTGTTGCTTGCCAAGATTACTTCTTATTGTGGTTATACAGTATTCTATAAGCAATATACATCAGTAGTTTTTTCCAATTTTACACTAATAGTTTTCTTAACTTAATAGCGGATGTGACATGAAATATGCTACGGTTAAGAGAGAGTTTTCATCATGACATAGTTTGCAATGAGTGTAAATATACAATTAGCACTAGCAGTACAGTAGCACAATAGCACTAGTCAACGATGTATTTTTAAATTCTAATACTGGCTATGATATTTGGACTTATGAGAATGAGATGTCTGCTTCCCTCTTCTTGGTAAAATAGTGTCCAAATGTTTCTCCAGAAGACATCTGACATTCCTTTTGGCCCAGCGCCTTTTGGAGCAAGGAGGTATGCACATTCTTTCCGAGCAGTTCCCCTTTTTCTTTTTTTATATCCCACATTCTCATCCTAGGACGCTAGTTCTAGCCTGGAACTGTTTTACACATTACCTCAGGCTAGTCCTAGAGGGTTGCGGCATTATCACATTGATAAACTCCATTGGTGATTGGCGTGGTTTGAACCCGGAACCTCAGGGGCTCCAAAGCCCTGCGCTCTACCACTAGACCAACTCACTCCTCAACGGAGCAATTCCCTTTGTACATTCTTTTATAGCAATACAGACCAGTGCTGCACACCGATCAAAGATTACATACCTATCAACACTGTTTGTTCGCCCTACTTTTGCAACCCTTTATGACTACACAACATGTACATACCTTGTTGGCGTGGTCTGGTCGTAGACGAGGGTGGTCCCTCACGCTATGCCAAAGACCGCTAAAGGAGTCCTGGTCCCACGACGGGTTGATGGCTGCCAACAGCATGACATTGTTTCCCTCTCCGTCCACCAGCGAGATATCAGCGCCGCGAGTCACCAGGAAATCCACCATATCCAACCGGAAGTGCCTTACTGCCAGCATCACAGCTGTTTCTCTGTTCTAAAAAGTTTTGAAACCATTTAAGTTTGCTACGCTAAACAGTAAGCAAGTGGTTAATGGTGTCTTTGTAGACCAGAAAAATGTTGTTTTCAGAAAGGGTTTGGTAAAATCAGTTGCAGAGCATATTTTAAAGGATTTCCGCTGGGCAACAGTTGCGTCGGATTTGCTGGGGCAAAAAGGGGGTCCGGGTTATGGTTTTCTCCCGGAAATGTTTTGCATGAATTAAAGTGAAAATCACACATTTCTACGTACCGGTACCTTCTTATAAATTTTCCAATTACATTTGCTTGTAAATAGTCCATATAATCTCACTTAATTACGTATTACGTTGTAAAAGGCCAAGGCTCCCTTCACAACTCTTGGGCCAAAATCATAGCTCAACTTTAAAAGTGTACTACCGTACTACAAACATTAAACAATTTGTGATTAAAATATCCGCGCAAAACCTAAAACAACAATAATAATTTCCACTTTTTATTTTTAGATAGGTAAATATTGACACAATGTTATTTTAAATACTTTTTAAATTCCGATACATTAAAAATGTGAATCATAAAAAAAATATTCCGGCACCACCCATTGCCACTGGGTGACAAAATCTCAGTACTGTGCACTTGTTGTTGTTGTTCTTGGGCGTTGTTCAGTTTTTATATTTCAATCAAATTTGTAAACATTTGGAAATAAAAAATACTTTGACTTTTGTGTCACCCAGTCCAGTTAACATGTTATTTTATACCCCGAGTTGGAGTCACAGAGAATAAGTTACAGTGTAAGAAATAAATATAAATGAAAAAAAAACAAGTAGGCTACCTCATCAAAAAAGTCAATTGAATGCCCTTCTCTCAACAGTCTTTTGACAACTTCAAACTTTCCAATGACTACAGCACCAGCGAAACAATGATGGTCACCCTGAAAATGTTTAAAGATTAGTTGTAAAACAATTTAAACCTCTCTTATTTTGTCTAACGAATTATGTTTTGCGAATAATCGCAGACATGAGAATCATGCTTTCAAAATCATCCATCCAAGGAGAGGGATTATCTTTGTGCAATGATTTGAAAATGTTGGCTTTAAGGGGTTAATCAGTTAAATTAACTTTTGAGTCTGTATTTTTCTAAGAGAAAGACGATTTTGGCTTTTTGTGAGGGAGAATCTTTAATAAAAAGTTCTCTTGGTCTTAAAAAACATTTAATTTTTACTTGGTATATGAATCCACACAGCCTAAGGTACCTATTGTTTTGTGATCACTTAGTGTTTATAAAAAAATTCAAAAAAATTAAATGACAGGCACAATTAAATTAATGAAACTAGGTGGCTCAAAAAGATTTAAGCGTTTAAGACCTCAATTTACACAGAACCAGCCTTCATGCATAAGTTGCACAACTTCTTCAAACACAACTAATAGATTGTATGATGAACTCAACACAAAAGAAAAAAAAATAAACTGTATCAGCAATCTGACTCGTAATTTCTCCCATTAGCTTGTCAACAACCTTTATCATGGGTAAGCTATGGGATGATATTTTATAAGGAAAAATCACATAAGGTGCAATAACTTCTAAACCGTAAATGTTTGATCAAGGGGGATTGCACTATTTTCTTTAGAATGTTAAGCACCATAACACATTAATTTGAATCAAAACCGGCTTTTTTCCTAAATCCGATGTTTTGTTATTTAATGGGGTCTTTTATGGGAAAATAACCTAAGTTACAATAACTTTTGAACAGTAATTTTTACAGAAATGGGAGTCATACCATTTTGTTTAAAATTTAAAGGGCTACAACATACTAAATTTTTATCAAAATCGTTTGGGTCATTTTTGAGAAAATCCGATTTTTCCGTTATTTTATGGGGTTTTATGAGGAAATCAACATTAATCAAAATTTCAAAAAATAAAAAAAATAAATGAAAAACGCCTGGAGATACCATGGATTAGTACCTATACCAAATTACATCAAAATCGGACCACAGGTGCAGTCTAGCTCTGTACACATCACACACAGACATCACTTTGAAAACCAGGGGGGCCAAAACGGAAATATCCACTCAAAACTCAAACTCGAAAAATTTCACGAAAACAATACTTTCTCCATATATATGGTATAGGGAGAGAAAATAAAAACGACAAAAACGGTGGTTGACATGTGCTGCAGTCTGGGAGAAAAGCTTATAACTACCATTAGTTTTTTATTGATATAGCGCGGGGAATCGGTCACGAGGTACCAGGTTCGAATCACACTAATCAGTAATCACCATCCCCCAATAGATTTTATAAGTGATAACGTCGCTTCTAGGACTAGCCTGAAGTAATGTATAAACGGTTCCGTGTCCAACGTCCTTGCAATTAAAGGTTGGAAAAAAAAATGGTCGAGCGGTCCGATTTTGAGCTAGAAAACAGCATTCCCATATAGCACGAAAGTCTCGTTGACCTACTTGATACCTATTATGGATACCTATATGATACCTAGATTGAGGATACCTAATGAATATGTGTAGAATACCTATTGTATAGGAATTGAAAACTCAATCCCACAATGCATCGGGCTTTCAACCGGTGAGCTCTGGGACTGCTGGGAGTAGTGGAGTGAAACATTAGAGAAGACGCCGCCATTCGCCATTTTTTCTGTCCGATCTGACAGAAGCCGGTGTTTGTTTTTGTTTACCTAATTTACATAAGTTATCATTTTAGTTCTCGTTCTCACTCAGTGAGTGTTGTTTATTGTGTGAACAGGAAATGGAAAATTGTCTGTAGATACTGATGAGGTAAGTCTATTGAAATATTACAGAAGTAGCCTAAGTTAGTTAAATAAAACAACGTTTTAGGAAATTCCATGAACTACTCAGGCTAAGGTCCAGTTTGTAGGCTGGCAGATACAAATAAAATAAAGCTTGAAATTTAAGATAATGCTGTAGCTGTAACTTCGCTAGGTTTTAATAATATGTCAGGCTAAATAATAATGAAACAAAGCCGGGTATGTACACCTAACTAAGTTAAAGTGATAAACTTAAGTTATTTGGCAACAAACAGTCACAACTTAACACACTTAATCGCTAAAAATTATATTTACATTGGATTTATCATTCAAAAGCAGTGTTGTTAAGTGTACAACCTAGGCCTTTTGTAGCCTAGCTTAAATATTGATAAAATACTTAAGATGAGTTTAAGTGTTAATGTATCATTGGTAGGCCTATCGTTTTGGCTGTGTTTTGGAAAACTAGGCTAGAAATCAACTCATTTTTATTTTTTATTTTTGCGGGTACACTTCCATATCTGTTGGCACAATCAACCTAATGAGTAAATTAATATTGACTAAGTTATTCGATCGATAGTTTAATTCAATATATCGCTGGTTAGTTAGGTTAGGTTAACCTTACCTAACTAACCAAACGATATATCAAATAATCGATAGCCTATATGGATCGATATTTTCATTCGGTTGTTTGTACCAACACGTATGGAAGTACCCATTTTTGCCAGAACAAAGTTAGGCCTGGTTCTTAATTTGTAATTTAAATGCGTTTGAAGATATTAACACAGAAGGAATACGAATTGTTACATTTTAGGTAGGGTTCAGGACATTGATTGCTAAGTTAGTGTGATGTAAGTTGAGCCATTTAAGTTAACTTAGCCTATTAAAATATCATGATAGGATAGGCCTACTTAGCTTGGCTGTAGTTTCATAACTGTCCCGCAGAACAACCAAATAAATAACTTAGGTATATCAAATTTTTTCTTAATATAGCTTATCGAATATTTCATTGGATTAGGTAGGGGTATAGGTTAACCTAGGTTATATTAAGGCTGCACTTTACTTTACGTCCTACACTCATTTAAATTAAAATATCAATCGATATATCGATTGTTCGATAAGTTAGCCTATATCAATTGATCGAACAATCGATAGTTTCATTCGAATGAGTGTAGGACGTAAAGTAAAGTGCAGCCTATATTCCAAATGAAATCTATAAATCGATACATCCATTCGATTGTTCAGCGGGTCACTTATGGAACTGCATCTGATAGGGCTAAGTTACATTAAGTTACAGTATATTTATGTAAGTAGCCTATGTAGGCCTAAGTTTGTCTAAGAAAATTTCACTCTAATGTTAGATTGAGCCAAGACTATTAGTGGAATCATTTTATGAGAAAATTTGACCTAACCCCAACAAAATTGCAACACAAGCAATTTTTTTTTTTATGATGGCTATAAGTGTCTTTAATAACCCCTCAAAAATCGCCATCAATCGTACCTTGGCAACAAGCCCAAAAATTCAAAATGGCCGCCAAGAGGGCTGCCAAAATATACATTTTGGCATATATCTCGAGAACGGTTAGTTTTATCAAAAACGTTATTTTAGCAAATATGTAGCTCTTTTAATGCCAATCAGTTTTGATATATGCATTTTGTCTGTCAGACGTATGGTATGGCCGCAATTTGAAGAGCCGTACTTCATTAAAATCTGCCTTTTTCACAAAAATTCTAAATTTTCATTTTTTTATGACTTAATGTTAGAAAATACAAATTGTAAGTCAAAATAATTTAAAAGTTGTTTGCCATGTGGTTTCCTACTTATTTTCAGTTTTACTTGGGATTTTATGATCATGAACAATTTTTTTTTCATGGTTTAAATAATCTCCCATTTTAAGGGATAACATTTTTTTTACACACACATCTCATTGAATTAGGTACAAGGAGTCTTGCAATTGCATCTAATCATTTTTAACAATGTCTGGTGCTGCTGGCAAATCCATCGTTTGGGGCACTTACATGTTGTCCTGTAAAGTCCATCCCCAGTCTGTAATTATCATACCATCTTCTGCCCTTTTCAATATTTGAATTTGTAAATAGGCTCGCAGACTATGAAACTTTACTGCTGACTCTGTTGAAGGAAGTTGCTGAGGCTTTATTTTTTTATTTTTATTTCATTTTATTTAAATACATGCCAACGGCTTTACAAAGGCTTTACAAAAGGCTTACAAAAGGCTTTACAAAGCTTTTAGCTTTTTTAATTTTGACAAAATACTTTTGTATCTACATGTGTTCATTGATTCGTTCTTATTCCCATTGAACATACTAACCATTAGTTTCAGACCGATTTCTTCAACTTGATCTGGACTCAGATTTGGTGAGTTGAAAGATGACAGCAGACCCTGAAAATACTCGTCTTCTAATGTTCTGTTGAATACAGATAGTTTTCCGATGTGAAAAATCCTCGAAGTTGTGTCGCACCCTGTATAGGCGTGCAGAGCTAATAGAGATTTAGCTAAATCTTCTCCAAGTGAGGATCTATTTTTTTTTATGTTTTAAACATGATCTGAAAGTCGTTTGTCACTTCTGAATAGCAAGTTGTAATTTGTTGTAATATTACACCAATAGATAAGTAAAATAAGAAGATATGTGTAACTAAAGGAAAGAAAGCGACTGTGTAAAAACTAAAAATAAGTAGGAAACCACATGGCCAACAACTTTTAAATTATTTTGACGTACAATTTGTATTTTATAACTTTAAGTCATCAAAAAATGAAAATTTTGAATTTTTGTGAAAAAGGTAGATTACAATGAAGTACGGCTCTTCAAATAGCGGCCATACCATACGTCTGACAGACAAAATGCATATATAAAAACTGATCGGCATTAAAAGAGCTACATATTTGCTAAATTAACGTTTTTGATAAAACTAACCGTTCTCGAGATATATGCCAAAATATATATTTTGGCAGCCATCTTGGCGGCCATTTTGAATTTTAGGACATGTTGCCAAGGTACGATTCATGGCGATTTTTGAGGGCTTATTAAGGGCACTCTTAGCTATCATTTAAAAAAAAAATTGCTTGTGTTGCAATTTTGTTGGGGTTCAACACTAAAATGATTCCACTATATTCCATGCATACGTTACACCTGGAAGT